AGGGCGGCGTCCGCGACTTGCACGCCCGCCTGTCGGAGGGAGTCTACGTCCCAGACAGCTACTCCGGGGTACCTCGCCGCCTGCGGTTCGCGCCTGTTAGGGATGTCGATGATCTGGAGGAAGGAGAGGTTGAGGACGCCATGGGGGAGGAGCCTGTTGTCCATGTACTGTAGCCGTCTTCCTCCCGCGTGTTCTTATATTGGTTGTCCTTCCGCCGAGTCGTCCTTCCGCCAATGGATGTCGCTTCGCTCCGCATTGCCTGGGCCTGAGTGCGTGTGTCGTTCCGGGCTCGTACCGCTGTTCCCATGTGGGCCTGCCCCACAGCGCTCATCACCGCCGACATCAGGTCCGGCGGCAGATGGCGGCACCTGTCCGTCGACGACGCATGCCGCCTCGTACTCCAATCCATACGCGTCCGACGAATCCGGCTACGTGAAGGACAAGACGAGGAACCAATCGCGCTGCTCTACGTCGAATCCCCCACTGCTGACGCTGCGGAGTGGATCAACTTCCGGGACCGCGTACGTGGGCATGTCTACGGTGGACCGTACGCAGGACCTCCCGAGCTCATCGAAGATACGTTCTTCTGCATGTATTGTCACTCATCCGACCACCCTACAGTCGCCTGCACCCTGCCGTCCACGCCTGGATGGCACGGCCCCTCCATCGCTGAAGCTCGCGAGTCCCTCACGAGAGACCGCCGAGGACAAGGCAACGGACAGAACGGAAGAGGTGGTCGTGGTGGTCGTGGTGGACGAGGCGGTCGCGGCGGCAGAGCACGGGGAAATGACTCTCGCGGTCGTCGTAACGGTATGAACTAGTCGGACGCTATACATATGTGATCGCCCTAGATGTACCCTGTATCTGATAACAAGTACTCTCGCAACAAATATACGTCCTCTTTCGCGTATCCTCGACATGTTAAAAACATCTCGACAACCCTCCTCTCATGACTCAGATACAACCCAAATACGAATCACAGGATAGGAAAATCTCATAAACTCATCTCACTAACCACACGACACCCGGGAACGAAGCCCACACTTACTGACTGCGAACGCAGGACAGGAAAGCTTCCGAACCGCCGTGCCGTTCCTCTTACAGCGAGTGGGCACTATTTAGACTTGCCCCAGGCTGAGAAGCCGAAGCTGCCGAGGCAGCGTGTCCCCTGAGGGAACCAGGAGTGTTCCCCGCACCTGACAGATCGTTGTAGTCGGAATGTGTAGCGCAACGGTGAACAACATAAATCTAACCAACCATACGGACGATCTCACAACAACTGGCTTACCTCTCCTCCATCAGAGAGAGCTCAACGCGTCCCCCGCCCACGCTGGTCTCGATGATCAGATGGAGGAACCTGGAGACGGGGCTGCCCCTCTGCACTCCCTGACACAACCGGTTGCAGGACCAAGGCCTAGGGGCCGACGACATCCAAGGGAAACCCCCTTAACACCGGCAAAGCAGACTCCTGCTAAAACATCAGGACGGAAAACAAAAGCAGGCATACACGTTTGCTCGCTCAACATAAACGGGCGTGGAGGCATGACAGGCCCCCAGAACCAGAAATGGAATGAAATCAATCAACTCCTAAGAGAAGATAGAATTGGCATACTGTGCCTACAAGAGACACACCTAAACGACTCTGACGTCCAGAACATAGAAAATATCTACGGAAGGAGGATCACGATACATAACTCATGTTCAACCTCTGCAACGTCCTCCCAAGGTGTTGCAACAATACTAAACCGCGAACTAGTAGACACCGCGGGTACCCAGTTCACGGAGATCATTCCCGGGAGAGCAACACTACTCAGGACTCACTGGCACGCAAACAAACACCTCACGATAATGAATGTCTATGCGCCCAACCCCCGCAAGACAACACCGCTTTCTGGCAACAATTGCTGCAGATGGTAGAAAATGGAAAGCTCTGCAAACCCGACCTCTTGGTCGGAGATTTCAATATCGTAGAAGAAGCAATTGACAGAATCCCTGCGAAGGAAGACTCACCCACGGCAGTACAAAACCTAAGATCCTTACTACGTTGTCTCAACCTATTTGACGGATGGAGACTATCCGAACCCTCAAAAAAGGACTTCACCTTCCCACAGAGGGGTAGCGCATCGAGATCAAGACTTGACAGAATATATGCGACAAACGAACTAATCATGTCTTCACAAGAATGGTCCATTAAGACGACGGGAGTACAAACTGATCACAGGCTGATCTGTGCACACCTAAGCACCCGATCAGCGCCCTATATCGGACGAGGCAGATGGAACCTCCCCTCACATCTCCTAGATGACGATGAGTTTAAAAAATCAGCTGCTGAACTCGGCACAGCAACAATCAAAATGATGAAATCCACCACGCACCTAGATGGCAATGACTTCCCCAGCCCAATCCAAATTCTGCACTCGCGTTTTAAAAACGACCTTAGGGAGCTAGCGAAACGGGTCCAAAAGGAACGGTCTCCTAAGATAAGGTCTGAGATTAACCGCCTATCTATGCACCTAAAGGAAATAGAAGCTCACCCGGAATACGCTGTATCCGCCTCGATGCAAGCAGACTCAGCAGTCATACATAACCGAATACTAGCGCTGGAACGGAAGCGACACAAGACGGCGAAACTCACTACCACAGCGCGGTACGTAATCAATGCAGAACACGTCACCAAGTACTGGTCCGCGATAAACCGAGAACGAAAACCAAGGGACCTTATGTATCTCCTCCAAGTGCCTCAATCGGACCCTCCCTCCTATGAAACTAGGTCAGACAAAATGGCGGAGCTAACGAAGACCTACCACGAGCAAATACAACATCTCGACCCCCCCGGGTTCTCCAGAATGAATCAAGAACACGCGATCTCAACTGTGCTCAACTCCCTGGACTCTAGTCTCGACTACACGGACCTAGAGACCCTCTCATCAGACGTCGACACAGATGAAATAAAAAACGCACTCCGTCTCGCCCAATCAGGGAGAGCAACAGGGTTGGACGGGATCCCCTACGAGTTCTGGTCAACCTTCATGCGCGACACCAGAGAAGGAGCGTTCAACAGCCTTGAATACCTCCAAATTGTTTTCGGTGATATAGAGTCCTTCGGAGTGAATCCTGCCGGCGGCTTCGCCGACGGATGGTTATGTCCGCTCTATAAAAAAGGTGATCGCCGAGATATCAGCAACTACAGACCCATCACCCTCCTAAACACGGATTACAAAATATACACGAGAATACTCACATCTCGCCTCGGGCAAGTCGCCGAGAAGCTGATCCACCCCGACCAAGCCGGCTTTGTACCAGGAAGACACATTGAAGATCAAACGCAAACCTGTCGCGTCCTTGTAGACTACGCCGAGAACCTAGAAGAAGATGGAGTCATCATAGCCCTTGATCAGGAAAAAGCGTATGATAAAATCGACCATACATACCTTTGGCGCACGCTGGAAGCTTTCCATCTACCGCAACGCTTCATCAACAAAATAAAGGCACTATACAAACATGCACGCACGAAAGCTATTGTGAACGGTGAAATTAGCTCCTTCTTCAGTGTAATAAGGGGCGTCCGACAGGGTGACCCTCTCTCCTGCCTCCTATTTGACATCGCGATCGAACCGCTGGCAGTGGCCCTACGTCGCTCATCGCTAATGGGCTTCCGCATACCTGGAGCCACCAACAAATTAATAACAAAACTGTTTGCCGACGACACCTCCACCTTCTTATCAAAACAGGACCGCTGGGAAGACCTCTGGCAAATCCTTGAGACATGGTGTAACGCCTCCCGTGCAAAATTCAATAACGGCAAAACGGAAGTAGTACCAGTAGGATCTGAAACTTACCGAGAAGCAGTAGTAAGAACACGTCTCCTAAACCCAGAGGATCCGTCCGCCGACCACATCCCTCAACATGTGCGGATCGCCGCTGACGGCAAACCGGTTAGAGTCCTAGGAGCATGGATAGGAAACAAAGTTGACCAAGTAAGCGTATGGACGCCGGCTCTCACGAAAATAAAGAACTTCCTCGACAGATGGGGAAAATGCAGACCGTCCATGATCGGCAAACATCATATAGTCCAAATGGGACCGGGAGGAATATCGCAATACCTGTCGGTAGTCCAAGGAATGCCTAAATCAATCGAGGTAGAACTGACCAAAATAATCCGTACCTTCATGTGGGGCAACAACAATGTCCCACAAATAAACCTCGCAACCCTGCACAGACCTATAACAGAAGGCGGCCTCGGTCTCCTGGACATTGAATCAAGAAACGAAGCGATAAACCTAATGTGGCTTAAACGATACCTAGACCTGGGCCCGAATCGACCTACCTGGGCCTTTGCAATGGACGCCATCATAAATAAATATGCCACAAGAGACGCAGGAGAGATCCGACCGAAAGCGCAAATCAATACTTTCCTTCAAAGCTGGCGCCCCTCACACGGAGGACAGTCTTCCATGCCCCAATATATTAAGACCATGTTATCGACGGCAAAGAAATACGGAACCCACCTAGAGGCTCTGAAAGTAGACACTTCGCTCAAGAAGCAACTCCCAACGTGGTACCACATTGGAGCAACGACGGCCCTACGACGACTAAACAACACGAAAGTCAGCGATTGCCTACGCGATAATCATGGTGTCATAACCGTTGCCGACCTTTTGCACTCCACGCGATCAACATGCGGATCGACCCCGCCGCAACAAAAACAGAACTGGGGGGAGGACCTATGTGACTGCCCCGAATGCTCAAATTCAAGGGCAGCAGGATGCAGACACCCAGAGAAATGTAGGCTAGCCGCTTTCCGCATACTGAGCGAAATTTTACCGAAGTGGAACCCGCTCTCCATAGAGTACAAAGACGGCCTATCCTTAACAACGAGGCGGTCTCTTCGTAACGATATCGCAAACACGAATGAAGGAGACACCCTCACCTTCAACCCCTCAATCACCGCTAGAGGCGGTATATCTGAAACTTTCCGCGTCTTCGTGGAATCTAGCACGATGCGCGATCCCCCTTCACACCGTAAACGCCCAGGACTTGAAGTAGTTAGCGAGTCCACGCTTGTCTACATCTTCAGAGCCCTGCCAGAGAGCAACACCGGAGAAAGAGAAGCTGCGACTCCTGGCAAATATATCGCTTTCTTCGGAGAAAACGATCACAGAAATGCATCGATGCCTGTGTCCAAAGACCCCGTCTCCCACAGTTCGGCACCAGGAGAAATCATTGCCGCGTTGCATGCAGTAGCACAGACCCCGCTCGACGCACCACTTCGCATCCTGAGCACAAATGACATACTCACATCCATGATTATAACCAAATCGCCGGAATGGGAAGACCACGGTTGGATAGACGTATCGCAGGCAAGGCACACACGCGTCCTTCTCAACAGACTTCGCCAACGATGCGCCGTCACGTCCCTAGGGAAGATAGTCAGACCGGAGGACCGAAAAACACTTGATAAAGCGAGACAATCCGCCTCCTCAAACCGATCGCTGGATCTCTTCCCCCTCATCCCTCCCCCAACGCTCACTGAGCACCCGAGGTTTGACATCACAGGAGCAAAACTCCCCGCTCTCACTCAAGCGCTAGCATACAAAGGGATCATAGCATGGAGGAACACGCCCCCAAGACGAGTTACATCTACGAACCTTGACACCATCCGCAACAGGACACCTGAAGACACTATGGCTAACAAAACAATATGGCTCAGCACGAGACATAAAGACTTCAGCAGATCTTTCGCAACATTCTTGTGGAAATGCATCCACGGGGCGCTGCGATGTGGAAGCTACTGGTTGGCAATCCCCGGCCTCGAGCACCGCGCCCAATGTAGCTTCTGTGGAATGACAGAATCAATAACACATATACTGTTCGAATGCACAGCAACAGGCCAACGCGAAATATGGCAAATAATCACCGGCCTATGGCTGAAAAAAGGCTTACCATGGCCAGACATGACGACTGTAGACGTTCACACCCTAGGACTGAAAACCTGGACAGACGAAAGAAATAGAGTCAGACCGGGTGCAACTCGATTATGGCGAATTATGATCTCGGAGGCGACTCACCTCATATGGAAACTACGCTGTGACAGAGTAATTGGCCACCAAAATGAAGAAAGCTGGGAACACAGTCCCCTGCACGTGCGATGCAAACTCGCCTATGTACTGAACAGCCGCCTTGCTATAGACGTTGAGGCCACAAGAAAGCGATACGGCAAACAGGCGCTGTCTCACGACCTAGTCCTAGCCACATGGAACGCCGTCATTTATGATGAACTAGCGCTCCCGGATGATTGGACGAAGTGCAAAGGTTTTTTAGTGGGTAGTTCCCCGATCCTACGCGTTGATATAGATCCGGGTTGATGAGTCCCACACTGGCTGTTTAGCCGTGCGTAAATTGCATTTTTTTCCGTGGACTGCACTTACGGGTAACACCGTATGCAAGCTGGGCGGCCGGGGCGGACCAATTGTCTGTTGCCGGCGTCTGTAAAAGCCCTCCAAAATAAAAAATAAAAAATAAAAAAATAACGGAGCTCGTTATGTCTCACAGTCAGTGCTTTACAACAAGGTGATTGCACGCTGGGCGATAGACGCGAAGATCGTCGCATTCGTCAGGGATGTCCAGAATATCTCGCTCGCAATCCAGTACGCGCACTCACATGGCCTCGAGTACACAACATCCAAACCGCCGTCCATCCAATGCTTCATTCTCAAGAATTGATCACATACGAGCATAAGTGGGCGCCAATGCCTTCCCCGACACAGCATCTTGACCCGCGTTGCGGCCGCATGGCCATTCTGTACGTTGAGACCGCACAACACATTAGCAGGGCGGCCTGATGATGATGGTTCTATACTCACAAACTCCATGCGACGATACGAGCCAGGATGCAGGGTTGCAAGGACGTCAATCCATGCTACCTCAAGGACCCTCGGCCTCCTCTTCGGCGGTATTCTTCTGTTCAACTTGCATACTGTGACGAGGTATCTTGTCCACATCCTTCCTCCAGCTGGCGAAGTCTTGGAAGCTATGCACTGGAGCGGTACTCCAAGGACAGTCAGCTTCCTTTGCAATTTGACCAAGTCCATAGTACTACACACCTCAATATACCTCGTCTATGCGAGTGTGGCATTTTCCGCCTGACGAGCTCGTCTAACCGATCACACCGTTCTCGTAGTCCTGAACCCATCCCAAGAAGCTCATTACTAGACGTCCAAGTGGTGTTGTCATCGTGAGTGCCTATACAGATGCCGCGTGACGCAACAGTATAGGAGAACTGCTTCTCTTGCAGTATACTGTCCAATCACGCCAGGACATCATCCTGCTCCAGTGTCATCAACATTCCGTCCAGGTTATCTGTCCTGTGGTCCATCCGAAGCCATAACATAACAGCCTACCAGCTTGAAGCTTCGGCGGACGGCGATGCTCAGCGACCAAAGACGAGACGAGACAAGTTCCGAGTAGTGTATGTACTGTCTACATAGGGCTACGCCCTCAGTGACAATAAAAGGAAACAACAACAACAACAACACATCTGCAAAATGTGTGCTCCCTACTACAGAGCACTACAGAGGGCCCATAGGGCACGGGAGGGCGGGAGGTAAGGTACCTTCTACATCAGGAAAACCCTACTTTCGGAATAACAACGAATGATGCATTATTACTGCGAAAAACGGGTAATTGTAGCCATTCTTTTGTTCGCTGTAGTAGTGGTTTATTCGCTATGGTCCGGAGGTCGACCTACGAATAACAGGATATTGTGCCGAATACAGTCGTATTAGGGGCAGGGTTCCTCACTATTAGATGAACCATTGTCTTTATTCTTAATGTTCGCAGCGCATTCCACAGACACATAGGTGCGAAAAAAACATGATGCATTATAATGTACTGTCAATGATCCAATACAATACAAATACAGCCAACACGACTCATTGGTAGTACTCGTGATATATACTACTCGCAATCAATCCCTATTGTACTCGTACCCGCATGTATACAGGCCCACCAGAGCGGGTAAGAGTTTTGCGCGGGTGTGGACTAGCGAGCGGGCGAGCAGATGCGCGAGCAAGAGTGCAGGCGGGAGGGTGTGCGAGCGAGACAGTGTGCGAGCGAGAGAGTGCACAGGCGAGAGGTTGAGCGGACGAGAGATTGCACGGACGAGAGGTCGCGCGAGCGAGAGGTTGCGCGGGTGAGATGATGCAGGGGTATGTGAGAGCAGGTGGTCAGGCGAGAGCAGCGAGAGTAGGTGATCAGGCGAGAGCCAGTGGGTGAGCCAGAGAGCCGATGAGCCACCGAGTGAGCAGGTGAAAGCAAAGATGGGCGAGCGCACGGGCGGGCGAGAGAGTGAGCGTATGAAAAATTGAGCCATTGAGACGACGGTAGTGGTCGAGAGTGAGGTCGAGAGGATGCGCGAGAGCAAGGCAGGGAGGGAACGAGAAGCCGAGAGAGTGAGCATGCAAGAAGGCGGAAGGCTGAAAGCACAAGTATGCGAGCGAGGCAAGGCAAGCGAGATAACAGGCCCCATTGGCAGAGTAGGGCAGAGAGAGTCGGATGCGAGAGCGAGTGTGCAAGAGGGGGCGACTCTGACCAGTGACCAGACAGGCGGGGGCGTGACAGATGGCAGGCAGGCAGGCGAGCATGCAAGAGGGCAGATGGGTGGACAAGCTGGTTGGTAACACGCTTGTAGGTAGGCGAGAGAGAGCAACTAACCGCCAGGTTGACGCGCAACTTCAACAAGTGCGTCGCGGCTTGTGAGCGAACGAGAAGGGTAGTAAATACCACGAACATACCGTCGAGCCTTCCCACAGTCTTCCTAGGTGCTCATAACTGTGTTTCTTCGCCTTCCTCTCATGCTACCCTTGCCTCTTCGTTCCGCTCTTGTCGCGCTCGGTGCAATGATCCTGTCGCTCAGAACCGGTCCGAGTCCTTCATGCGCGGTGCGTGAATTCGAGCCCACATGATCGTGCTGCGGCTTACCAGAGCCAGGCAAGCGGTGCGTTCGAGTCGAAAGAGACGGGGAGAGATGGAGAATGGGAGGGACAGAGAATGGGGAGGGGCAGAGAATATGGCTTGTCGTGAGAAGTGCTAAGCGCTTCAGCCACGACACGTCACGCGCGCTCGCCGGACTTTCTCTCGCCTCTCGAGTCCCCTCCTCCCTCAGTGACTGAGACTCTGCTTCGCTCTCGCTTGCCCGCCGCTGACCTCCAGTACACACAGGTGGACCTGTTCGCGAGAGACGGCGCGTACATCGGACCAATGAGTCGACCAAGATCGCGCTGTACGCAACTGCAACGAGCCCCAGCGACGCTCTTAGCGAAAGGTTAAGATGCAGGGAGGAACATGGGCTGCGTCCAGCAGGGCCAGCGAGTCAGGTGAGCACCCTGCTTTTCACCTCGACTCCGGGAATGCCCATCAAGAACGAGTGGATGGAGCCTAGTGCCGTGACACGACAGAGACAGCCCCGGCGCACGTTTGCCCAACAAGTGCAGGTACATACAGACACGACGCGCGCTGGTACGACAAGTTATACTGGTACGACAAGGTGCGGACAGCGAGCTAACGCCATACACTGTGAACGGCATCTCCGGCGAGAAGTCCTCCGCAGCGACGCCCAGCACCCCGCGTACGATTGCCGCCATCCGCGTGCCCACGTCGCCTCCCTTCGTCTGCCGCCCCCACACCACTCGCCCCGGGGCCAGTGGCTGACGAGCCCAGACCCGCGTCAACGGAAGTAGATAGGAGGTGTCGTCCGAGAAGGGGCATGCACGGCGTGCGCTCGAGCGCGTACCAGTCGACTGTCGGTACATACCGCGCGAACCGCTCACCGGTTTGGAAGCGAGCAAGGGCGTCTTCCAGCCACATGAGCCCTGATTGACGTTGGGCGCGATGTGCAGATGAGTGGACGCACCTTCCGCCGTGATGCCCCACTGGGCGAACTGCTCAAGCTGTGCGACTTTGCCTGACTCACCCAGTTCGCTCGAGCGCATCATCGTGGAGTCGATGATTCCCGGACAGACGAAGGCGAATGTGTCCGGACACGCGGAGACCTGCTCCTCTACCGGCGTGTTGGCTCTAACAAGATACTTGTCAGTCCTGATCAGATTTTGTTACCCTATCGTAGCCACTCACGCGCAGTAGTTCGTCTGCCCTCCATTCCCAAAGAGGCCCGCCACGGATGAGAATGGGACGAGGAACTCCAATGCCCCGACATCGACGCACTCACGGAGCGTGTCAACCACACCAATCTTCGACTTGTACACGCTTGCGAAGTCCGCCTCCTCGAGCTGTGCAAACGTTCGGTTGGACAGTGCGGCCGTGAGGACTATGCACCCCGCAAGCGGTGCCTCCTCTGAAATCGCACGGAGTAGCTCAGCCATGCTCTCGCCAGGCACAGCGCGCGTAGGTTTGTTGAGGACGGGCACGCCACGGCGTCCCCTTACTGATTTGTCTGCTAACTTGTTTGCTCACTGACTCGGTCGTCCACTCTCACCCTCACCCTCTCTCTAGTTCGCCCACGGCCCCGCTATTCCACTCGCCCGCTGTTTCACGCGCCCGCCGCTCCTCTCGTCTGTTGTCGAACTCCCTGTCGCTCCCCTCGCCGCTGTCCTGCTCGCCCACCATCTCGCTATACCCTCTCACCTGTCTTCCTCTCGCTTGTTATCCCCCTCGCCGTCCTGCTTACCTGCCATTCTGCTTACCTGCCATTCCACCTGCCTGCTGTCATGCTCGCCCGCCGTCTCACTTGCCTACGTGGACCCTGTACCTGCTGTGGCGGATCTGTACGCGGGTGGGTACGTGCACGGGTCGAGCCTAGTACCAACTTGTAATCATGTAGTCTAGACCCCTGAGCTCAATACTATGCAGTCCACAATTTCGTAAACAATATGTACCCAGTGATGCGAATATATGCAAATTATTGCACATGCGCGAAGCAACTACCGACTTCGGAACAATACTCGCGAATACGAAAGGTGTGATGATTGGATTCATAATGGCAAGATATTATTGAGTGTTCTGCCGTGTTCCGCATATTACTGACAATTTCAGAACATTACCACGAATTACGGAAAGAGGGTTTTCCTGATGTATGTAGCATTGGGTAGCAGGTCATTCACTACCGAGCAGCTGTAGCGTAGGGCTGGTAGGCACGGTAGCCACATGGCTTAGCGCTCACATCGCCAATTGGGTCACTGGCCTGCTGTTTCACCAATCACTCGTACTGTTACGCGAAGCTAGGCGAGTGGAACACTTCAAGCCACCAGCTTGCAAGGCTACTAACTTCGAAGAGCGGTTCTGTTTCTTAGACCTAGGAAGGACGCAAGTCCCTTCGTCCTAGTCGAGTTCCGAAGCGGTAGCGGTATGAGAAAGCTAGCGTCGATTGCTAACCAGGTCGAACTGAAGAGTCCGACCTCTACTGTACTGGTATATATACAAACGAATGAGTCTGAGTCAAGGCGTACAGTAAGCGTGAGTCAGGATATGTCATTGCTGACGAAGGAAGTGGTAATCATGACGAAGAAATGAGTAAGCGGAGTTCAGCTATCACATGATAGTCCGGGTGCGGTATAGTACATAACCGGTCCTCATGCACGTGAGGTGGTTAGAGATAACAAGTAAAAGAAAATGAAAATGTACGTAACATGGCGACTTGTAACATAAGCCCCTTCCTATGGTCGACGTCCGCGTTGACCACTAAGCCTCAGGATCTTGTTCGTCTCCACCGTCGTTGCCATCCGCATACATGTCGTTTATGTCGCCGTTGAAATCCCAAGGAGAGGGTACTCGACTCGAAGGTTGGTCTTCAACCGAGTGAGACTCTTCGTTGGACTCGACCAGCACCTGAAGAGATCCGACGTGAGGAATACTCGCCGATCGTCTGTTAGCGCGGATTCGGTAAATGGCGGCGTTGGTGTTTCAGGTCGCGACGGCAGGTGGTACTTCTGAGGGAGTAAGGAAGGTGCGATTGGGATCATCGCTATTGATACCAACCGAATACCCTACGACTTCCCCATCTGGACCGTAAACGACTTGAAGGATTCGTCGACCGAAGATTTGATCGACAAGTTCTTCTGCATGTGTGGACGTAGATGCTCGTGGACCTTCGTCTCGCTGCTGAGCGAGAAGCTGGGCCTCAAGCGTGAAGAATCCGTCGGTATTCATGGACGACGATGAAGACGGTCGAGGTGTTGGTGCGGCGAGGCGGTCTGCTTCGGAATATGCTGGCGGTTGGGAGTACCTAGGTGGCGCATCCGCCAGTTCTGCGCGCGTAGGTTCTATATGGAAGTCTTCCTCCGACTGCGACGTAGGAGGTGAAACGATGCGTGATAGGGGTCGGGGTGGAGGGATTCCTTGAGGTCGACGCAGATGTGCAGGTGGCGTAGGGATACGTATAGGGCGTTGTGGTGATGGCGAGTCCCCGGTGCGTGGACGACGCGGAAGGGAATTCTTGGTATCGGTGAAAACGATGGGCGGGGGTCGTTGGTACAAGTTGACAGTTGGCGGAGGAAGCGAGCGAGGTCTGTGGTACCTCGCGGAAGGGAAAGGGGAGATGGGGTGGTGCGCCGCACGCTTCGTTCGCGATGTCTTTTAGTGAAGACTGCCCTTTCCTGAGCCTGGTATACTCGATAGCCTTCCCTCCGACGTTCCTAACCTGAGCTCTCCTCGATCCTGAGCCTGAGCCTAACTTCTGCGACCTTCCTTAGCCTGAACGCGAGCCTGAGACGAGACCTGAAGCCTGAGATTGCCCGGTGCAACCTAGATACTGAGTCCTGAGAGGTGGTGGTAGGTAACTAACTCCCCTTTTCCTCCGTCTCCCCCTCTAAGTCTCCCTCCGCCGCTGTTTTCCCACGTCCCACCCTCGCTGGCATCCGTTTCTCTCCTTTCCTGTTCCTTCCGCACCCGCCTCGTCTCCTTCCGACACCTCCCCGTACCCTCCTCCAGCTTCTTCCGCTTCCTCCGCCAGGCCCTCAGTGCTCCCCACCGTCTCCGATGCCCGTCGATGCTCCCCCAAACCCGTCCACCATCGTCTTCACCACCCGGTTCTACCGCCTCATCGATCTTCTCCGCGACGAGCGTGTAGTAGAGCCTCGCCTGAACCCCGATAGTGACCGCGAATGGCTTGCCTGGGCCCATGGAGCTCGATGGTTAATCGTGCGTCCTTTTTCCTCCGTCCTGATTCCCGATCGTCCTTCTAAGCGGCCGTTCTCCCCGCGCAGCGAATGCTCTTCGACTCTCGTTCCCGCGCAGTGGCCCACGGCGATGCTTCCCTTCCGCTCGTCCGCCGCTACCCTGACGTGCAGGAGCTGATCGAGTATCTCGACCAGGTCTTCCTCACTCTTCCGTCGCAGCATAGCTATCTCGGCGAGCCTTTCCCTCTGATTGCCTGGGCCCCGAACCGAGTCACCGCCGAGCAAGCCGACGCAGAGATTGGCCGTCCCCTCCTTCCGGTTCGCTACTTAGAGCGTCCCTTACAGCTCTCGTCCTATCGTGCTTCTTCCGACAGCCTCGACGGCCTCCTTAGTCGGTTTCAGGGCCTCCTTGATGAGTGCCGCACCGCTAACCGTGACGCTCGTTCCGAGGCTGTCCATATCGCCCGAGGCCTAAATTCTGTTGAGGCCAGCGTCCGCGACTTACACGTTCGCTTATCGGAGGGAGTGTACGTTCCCGACGGCTACTCCGGGATACCGCGTCGCCTGCGGTTCGCGCACCCTCAGGACTTCGAGGCGATGGAGGAGGGAGAGGTCGAGGATGAGGTGCCGGAGGGACCTGGTGTTCATGTACAGTAGCTGTCTTCAATCCGCAGTTTTACTTGGTCGTCCCTCGCCGAGGCGTTTTTCCTCCAATCGACGTTGCTTCGTTCCGCGTTGTCCTACACCTGAGAGTGCGTCGTTCCGAGCTCGTACTGGTGCTCCCATGTGGGCCCACCCCACAGCGTGCGACGAGATCCGATGGTAGGATTCCGCGAAGTCCTCCGTCGGGGTTCGTCTCATCGTAGTCCTCATCGTAGAACGGACCTATATGCCACTCATGCATATAGTTCTCTGCCTCCACCCAGGTATGGAATACCATTCCTCGTATTCCCGAGCGATACAATCAGCTCAGGATCGCGTGTGTTCCTATCTGGTAGATCCCCGGAAGTCGGCCTCGAGCTACGGCGTAATATCGAGCCGTCGGGTATGGTGATGAGTCTAGGTGTCGGCGACGACGAGAAGCGCGCCGACGAAGGGAGTACGGTTCAGCAAGATTATTCTCATTGGTTTCTTCGGCGAGTTGTCGTGCTCCTCGTTGAGCAGCATTGGTAAGCCGGACGAGGTGTGACTCGGAAAGGATATCGGCGGCGAGGATCTCGGAGAGACGTCGACCGTGCGTCGTCGCTGGTCCCACCTGGGGACATGCGCGGTTCGTATGGCCTGGGGCCGTACGTCGGCACTTGGGACAGGTATACAGGCACATTACTGAGTGGAACTTGACCGTTACTAACGGTCCACCCGGAGTGCATTTGGCCCGTTTCTAACGGTAGGCCCGGGCTCGGCCGGAGCAGGTAACCTGCCGTATACAGAGGTCCGGCCGGGCTGCACGTCTCGGGCTTCTAGCGGTCCGGCCGAGTACCGACCGACCCGTATCAAACGATTGGCCCGGAGCCGGTTCCACTATGAACCCTGAATTCCAACGTGGCGGCCGGACATTCAGCGCGCGGCCAGTGGACGGCGCGGCCGGGGGCGTCCGGCCGCAGCAGGGTATCCACTTTGAGCATTGATTCTCAACGTGGCGGCCGGGAATTCAGCATGTTCTCAATGGACGGTGCGGCCGGAGCGAGTGGGGTGATCATGGGTGGGGGCTCCGGTCGGAGCTTAGGGACGACACCCATGAGTTAGACGGTGCGGTCGGTCACCAGCAGGCATGGTGTCCAACGGTCCGGCCGGTGTTATCAATCCAGATGTCCGGGGCTACAGCCACCATATATAATACACCATTCCCAACGGTCCGGCCGGTGGCGGTCCACCAGGGATTCAGGGATGGTCCCATGTGTGGATGAGGGTACCGCCCTTGGGCCGTGTATTCAAACGGTCCGGCCGGCGAATGCGACTTAGGTATAGCCACAGGGATGGATGAAGGTACCGACCTCGGGCCGTGGATTCTAACGGTCCGGCCGGCGAGTGCGACTTCGGTATCGCCCCAGTGATGGATGAAGGTACCGGCCTCGGCTCTGTATGAATGAGGGTACCGACCTCGGGCCGTGGATTCTGACGGTCCGGCCGGCGAATGCGACTTAGGTATTGTCACAACTATGGTGAAGGTACCGACCTCGGGCCGTGGATTCTGATGGTCCGGCCGGCGAATGCGACTCAGGTATCGCCTCATACATGGATGAAGGTACCAACCTCGGGCCGTGGATTCTGACGGTCCGGCCGGCGAATGCGACTTAGGTATTGTGACAACTATGGGTGAAGGTACCGACCTCGGGCCGTGGATTCTAACGGTCCGGCCGGCGAGTGCGACTTAGGTATCGCCTCATACATGGATGAAGGTAGCAACCTCGGGCCGTGGATTCTGACGGTCCGGCCGGCGAATGCGACTTAGGTATTGTCACAACTATGGGTGAAGGTACCGACCTCGGGCCGTGGATTCTGACGGTCCGGCCGGCGAATGCGACTTAGGTATTGTCACAACTATGGGTGAAGGTACCGACCTCGGGCCGTGGATTCTGACGGTCCGGCCGGCGAATGCGACGTAGGTATCGCCTCATACATGGATGAAGGTACCAACCTCGGGCCGTGGATTCTGACGGTCCGGCCGGCGAATGCGACTTAGGTATTGTCACAACTATGGGTGAAGGTACCGACCTCGGGCCGTGGATTCTGATGGTCCGGCCGGCGAATGCGACTCAGGTATCGCCTCATACATGGATGAAGGTACCAACCTCGGGCCGTGGATTCTGACGGTCCGGCCGGCGAATGCGACTTAGGTATTGTGACAACTATGGGTGAAGGTACCGACCTCGGGCCGTGGATTCTAACGGTCCGGCCGGCGAGTGCGACTTAGGTATCGCCTCATACATGGATGAAGGTAGCAACCTCGGGCCGTGAATTCTGACGGTCCGGCCGGCAAATGCGACTTCGGTATCGCCCCAGTGATGGATGAAGGTACCGGCCTCGGCGTTGTATGGTACCGACCTCGGGCCGTGGATTCTGATGGTCCGGCCGGCGAATGCGACTCAGGTATCGCCTCATACATGGATGAAGGTACCAACCTCGGGCCGTGGATTCTGACGGTCCGGCCGGCGAATGCGACTTAGGTATTGTGACAACTATGGGTGAAGGTACCGACCTCGGGCCGTGTATTCAAACGGTCCGGCCGGCGAATGCGACTTAGGTATAGCCACAGGGATGGATGAAGGTACCGACCTCGGGCCGTGGATTCTGACGGTCCGGCCGGCGAGTGCAACTCACGTAGGTACGGCCAGTTAATTTTTGCAGCCGAGGTATGTGATGCATTGAACAACGGCGGTCGTACAGAGCATTACAAATCTGTCTACCGTGAACCACTCGCCTCGCGATACCATTCCTTCACCCACGCTACTGCCGCCCTGTTTTGGTTGTTTGCGCGCTGGAGTGCCAACAACGAATCGATGTGTGCCATCACCGCGGCACGCTCGGCGGCCAACTCCAGCACTCGTGACGACATGGCGCCGGTCAGACCGCCATCTGACACAAAGAAATGGATGTCAGCGTGTCCATGTATGAGCAAATGAATTGAGTACGTACTGGTTTCCGGAGCCGGATTGAACACATTCGTCGCAGTGGGATCGAAGGTGAAAAATGCAGCGTCTTGCTCATGGTGTGGAGCAAGGGTGCTGGTAATGTTGGCAGGGACCATCCTGTCAGGCTCGGCGGGCAACTCGCGGGACTTTCCTTTGTCCTTGCGGGTGCCTTCTTCCTCACCTGTGCTGGGGCTACCGCCTCCAAGCACGTTGCTCCCCGACTCCGGGGATACCGCAACCCCGTCCGAGTGGCTGATGTCATGCCTCCAAGGCGGTGGCACCCAACCGAGTTCGCCGAAGCTCGGGCCCACCGGTGCGCTTTTCTTATACCCTGAAAATTCAGGGAAGGCTGGTGCCCGGAGGGCCTTACCATCAGCGCGTCGGCCGCTCGAAGTGCTCCTGTTGTCCGGTCGGTCATCCGTGATCTCGATGTCGGAGTCGTTCCTGGCGTGCGTCAGTGGTGCGGGCGTGTATCCGGTGATCACGACGTCGGACTCGCAGCTTGCGGCCCTTGCGCCACGCCCAGCCGGTTCGTCAGCTTGTATCTTCTGAGCGTCGGCCGGCTCGTCCGTTCCCTTGCTCGGCGGGCCCGGCGGAATGGACCCCTCATGATCGTCGGTGGCGGTCTACCGGCAGTGAGTTTCTGGCTGCTCCGAGTGAGTGCCGGGACTTACCTCATCAGCGATTTCCATCGGGATGTTGAATAACTTCCGGCTGTGCGCACGGCCATCCACCTCGGCGGGCACACGCTCTTGCGGCGACTACACCGAGCGCAATGTGAGTATCTGCTTTGCTCGGGCAACGGTGGGTATGACACACCTCACTACGTGCAAGTTCTAGTGTTGCCGGGGTCCGGTTCGGTCCGGTTCCCCCCGGAATCTCGAGAACCTTGGACCGCACCTCAGGTCAGGTTCGGGCAATTCACTGAACCTCGGACCGAACGCACACGGACGGTTCGGTGTAGGTCAGGTTCGGTTCAGACTGGGTTCGGACCTGCAAACCTCACCATATTTATATAGGAATGTCCTCTGAGATGTCTACCACTACAGCTTCGATATGCCCCTTCATGGATCCACCATCCAGATGCATTGGCAGTCGACTGAAGGCACACCGAAAGTAGGATCTATTCACCCTTGTGTGTGTGTGCACCTTAACTGACAAGGTGCACAGATACTGCTGTGGCGCGAGCCTGCTCGACGTCGACTGCTCGACTGCTCAATTCGCAGCGCATGCAGAGTCGTAGTACATGGCACGGCCCGTACACGCGTGGCTCGACGGTGGTGCACCGCCCAATCGGCGAGGATGACCGCCAGGGGAGTGCAAACTTGAGCGTACTCAGGATGTGTACACGTTCATGTCCCTCATCTCGATATATTCAATGTCGTCGTAGTCGACGTCCGTGTTATCCGCGCTCGCCTTGTGGGTGGGCACGATCTGGAGGCGGTTCTGCGGGCCGTCGAAGGGTGCCTCGACCGTTTCACCTTCGTGCACGCGGTCCCCAAGGATGACCATGGAAAGCGGGTCAAGGACCTCACTCTGAATCACGCGGGTCAGTGGGTGTGAGCGTACACGGGTGGATACCCGATCGAGACGAGGTCCTGCTTCGCGGCGGGGTCGAGGTCGACGGCCATCTTGCCCTCCACGAGGCCGTCCTGCACCTCCTGAAGCCGGAGGTCGACAATCTTGAGGACAATCTTCTGAGAGAGCTGCGGAAGATGATGCCGTCGATCCGGTTGATGAACTCGGGGGGCAGGGGGAATGCACGCGGATTGCACCCAGGGCCAGTTCGCGCGTCTCGGGTCTGGCGGGGCTGTCGCCCATGCCGTGGAGGAACGTCGCGCAGAGGTCTATCGTCATGATGATGATGGTATTGCGAAAGTCGACCACGCGGCTTTGGCCCGGGTCCGTAAGCCGACCGTCGACGAGCACCTGCAGGAAGAGCACGACGAACTCGCGCGAGGCCTTCTTGATCTTGTCGATGAGCGAGGACTTGCATGGGTCCACGGGTAAGTAGATGGGCGGGCAAGTGGGCGCATGGACCAGTGGGCGATCGCGTGGTCGATCGCACGGGCGAGTGGGTAGCCAGCCGGCCGAGCGGGTGCACGGGCGACAGAGCGCATGCGACAGGGGTTGTGGGCAAGAGGGAGTGCGAATCGGAGTGCGTGGGCAGACAAACAGGCGGGTAGGTGGACCGGCGAATAAGCAGGTGGACGGGCGAGAGGGCAATAGCGGGCGTGTGGGCGCGAGACGGCAGGCGTGTGGGCACGAGACGATGGGCGTGTGGGCGCGAGACGGCAGGCGTGTGGGCACGAGACGATGGGCGTGTGGGCGCGAGACGGCGGGCGGGCGTGTGGGCGCGAGAAGGTCAGCGGGCGGCCACGAGAGGCAGGTAGGCGGGCGTGAGAGGGCAACTTGAAGCGGGCGGGCGGGCGAGAGGGCCGACAAACCACGGACCTGAGGGCGGAGCGTGCCCGCGCGGGCTTTTGCGTGTCGCGCGTGTACTTGGCCTGTTTGTGCGCGGTGCGGGCAATGGGCCATGGTCCGTCGGGACCGCGAGGGGGCGGACTCTTACGCGCCGCGTTCGTGCTCGGCGCGTCAGGCGCGACAGGCCCGTGCGCGGGACGCCCGGGATCGTGGATGGTGAGGAGGGGCTCGTGGAAGCCGTGGCTGCGTTCGCAGATGGTGGGGCTGGCGGTCTGCAGCCGACAAGTAGGCACTCACCTGTTTGGGGGCCCTTCTGGCCGTACCCTCGTTGCCCTCCACCCGCCCTCCTCTCACCCTCTTTTCCGTTTGCCCTCCTCCTCGCTCGTTTGCCCTCGCGCCCGCCCATTCCGACCATCCACTCGTCCTCGCGCTCGTGCTCAGCCACACCTTCGCCCTAATCGCACGTTCACCAGTGCCCTCCACATCGCCATCGCCATTGCCTGCACCCTCGCCCGCGGTCTACTCGTTGGCTGCGTTTGCACACAAGGCATTCGCCCTGCGTGCTCGCCGCCGGCGTGTGCATTGCGTTGCCGTGGCCCGGCGGTGTCCATCTCGTCCTCGCCGACCATCCTCCCCTTGCCCATCTTCCTCTCCTTGCCCTCCCCTGTCCTTACGCGCGAACGGTACGCTCGTCGAGCGTGTTTGCGCCTGCGTGCTCGCAGTTCCGTGTCGGGATTTCGATTTGTTCGCCAGGGCTGGTATCCTCGCAGTGGTCGCTATGTTGGCGCGATGGCTGGTAGGATGGCGTACGGCAGCCCCTCATTGGTACAGCACTAATCACTCGGCCTCCCAGAGGGGCCAGAGCAACCGGCAGATACCACACGAGGCTGTTCGTAGTGGGTGGATAGGGGATAGGGTGTCGGCGTGTGTCCTTTGCTCGCATCGGTGGCATAAGCGGGCTTGCCAAGCATATCGCGGTCGATGTTGTTCGCGGCAATCTCGAAGACCGACGTGACGCCAGAAGACGTGAGGTGGCCAAGTGGAGGCCATCGCAGTCGGTGTACTCCTACGCGCCCTGGTTGTAGACGTAGATGTTGTATCAGCGGTCATGGAACCGACCTTGGCGTCGATGTCGAGGTAGCTAACGTGGGCGCGCAGAGGTCGAAGAGGTTGACGTTCCGTCTGTCAAGCAGATTGCTATGAGGTCGGGCTAGAGCGGCGAGAAAAGCGCCTGGTAGACGTACGTTTGGGATGTGTGCAGGATCATCGGGGAGTGCGGGTGCGCGCAGACGAAGACGGCAGTGACGAGCTCAGCGATCAGGCTAAGGGATGTGGTGCAGGTCGATAGAGGTTGACTCGCCGGCGAGACCAAGGGCGCGACTCGGACTCAACGGCAGATTTCAAGCGCTCACAAGCGTCAAGCACTGCCGCGGGAGCAACACCCTTCCTCGTCAGCACATCCTATGTGAGGGTCGCGAAAATGTACATACACATATAAGATACATACTGCTAGATGTCTGTGGTGAATCCAGAGCTTAGAGAATCATCCCCCATGCTCAATGCCCACGTCAACACCACCTTGCATCGGGCGCTTCACATTGCACCGCGCATGCATCGCGGCGGTGTGCGGGCTGCACTGTATCGTTGGTGGTTGGTATTCGGACAGCATGCAGGGACGTGAATATGTTATACTGTATTGTACTCGTACTAACAGGACTCCCATCTGCTATACAGAATCAGAGTCATACTCGTCCTCGCTCTCCGAGTCTGCAATCAGTTCATTCAGTGACTTCACCATCTCCTCGACCTCGTACTTCGCAGACAGGTGCCCGTTGCGGTACGCGCTCTTCAGGAGTTGCAGGGCCTCGAAGATATGGGTTTTCAACCTGTTCCGGCGTGCAGTCCCGGTTATGCCGCCGCTGGAGAAAGATCGCTCGGCCGCGACAGCAGAGCCTTGAATTGCGAGGTAGTCCCGAGCCATGCAAGCCAGTGTTGGGTATTCTTGAGAGTGGTGCTTGAGCAATGCGTCAGCGATGTATGTGCTCGGGGCTAATGATCTGTCCTTACCCCCCACCAACGAACGATGTCCGAGTCCTCAACAGATTCCAGTGGACTGCTCAGATAAGCTTCCAGTTCATATCGAGGGCCTCTGTTCTGATGTTCAGCCTGTGTTCTACCACGTACTGCATTCATCATCCAGCTGTAGCCATAGTGCTTCGGCTTCGAGGATGCTAGGATGCACCTCGTCTATTAGCTCATGGATGTGCTTGAACGAGAATGTACTCACTTGAAGACGTGGACGGAACGGGTTGAGCAGCACTTTGTGGCTGCGAGGCGTGAGCAGCATGATAGCGATCGAACTAGCATGAGTATTAGTGAAATGGAGGGCAGCATGCTGGCACTTAAGACACACCTCGGCCTCCATGCGTCGCCTAGCCGTCTCGACCCATTCTCTATCCCATTTGTCGGTGACATATGCCAGCTTCCACCGTGGATCGAGCACTGACATCGACGTGATCTTGTAAACATTGCGAGACGAAAAATATAGCAGTAGGGAAGCGCACCATGCGAGATGAAATATGCACCGCTTGTATCCGTCTTACGATACCACTTGCCGAGGTTGGTCAAACCAGCGCGAATGGCGTCCTTCAGGACAGCGTATCGCTTGTCTTTCGCTAGGTTCTCCCAGCTGTCTTGCAGTGATTCGAGGACAGGTATGGCTGCCCATAGCGTAGGATATTTGACCGACGAGAATGTTTGGTGAGCTTCGGCAGGCTCCTGTGAGTCATAGCAATGAGTACATCTCTTGCGCTCTAGAAATAATATCTTGCACGCACCTGCAAGACGTGGTGCACAAGCTCTAGATACTGCCATTCCCGATCGCTGAGAGCGAAGTCGGAGTACTCCTTCCCTTTGAGTTTTGGGACAGCATCTGTGACGTCTGCGAGACGCGTGAACCGATCAACAGCCTATTGAATCACAGGTAAGTCCGACTCAATCATCAATTGTTGTATACTGAAACGAACCTTGCGGACGTCAAGAATCCTGTCAAGGAAGTTGAACAGAGATGCCCAGCGCGTTCGGATCCATAAAAGCAGCTGTAGCACGGGTACATTGACCTCCTTGCATGTCTCACGAAAATATGCCTTGGCTTGAGGTGATTTTCGTATCTGTTGGCGAGTTTATCAGCATAATGTCATTGTGGAGGAGATTAGTATTGATCGAGAACCTGAGCGACGAGTGCAAGTGCCTTGCCGACAGCATCACCAATGTCAAAGTCCTCGGCATCCTCAGCCTCATCATCGTCACCGAAGAGGTCGCCATCATCATCCAAACCTAGCTCGCCGAGCTCCTTGTCTAGCTCGTCTAAGTCGATCTCGTCATCGTCAGGATTGCCGAGCTGGGCCTTGCGAAAAACCCTGCGTATCTTTCGCAAGAGCGGTTCGCCGAGCGTAGGCGCGATCGTCCTCGTGAAGTGCTTGGCTCCGAGATGTACCGCATGCTCCAGACACCTGTACAACATGGTCATCAGCATTACACGGTACTTAGCAAAGGCACTGGGTGCCCGGTGAAGCTCCTACATTAGCCGCCGTTCCTTCGGATCCCACCACCGTCGTCTAGGATCAATAACTTTCGCAAATGCCTTGACGGCAGTGTCGTTGTTCGTGGCATTGTCAGCTGTGATCCATCCGATCTGTTGTGGGCTGTTAGTAAAAATCTCGGTAGCACGACAAAAGCGCCTCGCTCACCTTGTCCATAATGCCATAGCGCTTGACAGTCCGTACTAGGTATTTCGATAGATTCTTCCCACTGTGATTACCTTCCAGCCCTGTGAACGCGAGCTGATCGCTCCTAAGGAACCAATCGTGCGGGCGATCGGGTGGCGCGTCAATATAATGGCACGTAATTGACAGGTACGTCTCGCCATTCGTCCAAGAATCGAATGTGAGCGAGAATTGGCCCGGAATGTTCTTCACAAATGCAAGTATGAGAACGAGCTTGAAAGTGCCCAAAAGCGAGAGACACTCACTTTGTACTTGTCCCGAATCACGTCAATAGCCTTCCGTGCCTTTTCGAGGATCGCTTCGCGAACTTTGGTGCGATGAGGAATGTCTCGCTCTTTGAGGCTCGGCCGCAAATACTTGAGGAGCCGCCGGAATGCGCCCTTATCGACAAGCTGGAATGCCTAGGAAAATGAGTGAGGCTCACGTCTATGGCAACATATGTGATAAAGCGTACCTCGTCTTCACATACTATCAATTCGATGATGTACTCTAGCAGTCCTTCCGAGCTGAAAGGCGGAGGTCCTGGTTCGAGCTTGTCATCCAGGGTTGTCTGCTTGCTGAGGTCGTACACGCCATGTAAGTCACTTTGAGATGCTACATGATGCACTGAAACGTACAGCTTTGCTTCTTCATCCTGGGGAATAGCGCGAGGATGCATTGGTATGCCAGCCTTTGCGCAGCGATCTCGGTACACGGGATAATGTGTTTTCGGGTTTCTGATGCACGTACTGATTGGTCAGCAAAATGAACTACTGATATCCGAGTCGCCGCATACCTCTGAATATGTGTACGGCGACTAGAAACATTGCCTTTGAGAAAAGCCTGTTTCTTTGAAAAGCCGAGTTTCCTGTAGAGGTTAACGCACATGAATGAGTTGGAAGAAGACAGTAGAATGCAAACACATACTTGCAGACAGAGCACCAGTGACCAGCAACCTTCTCTCCAGTATCACCATCCTTCTCGACGCCGTACGTGAAGATTGTTTTCACGTCCGCAGTGCGATCAGCCTTCCGGGTCCGTGCGAGCTTGCGCTCCTGCGATGGCATCATATATTGTAGCTTAGATATTGGAACACCTTCGAACATAACAATGAATTACGTACCTCGCGATCCTTCGCATTCAATGCCAGTGCACCATCCTCATCGTCTTCAAGAACCTCATCATCCTCGTCGTCTCCAAGCTCACTCCCAACACCGTCATCAATACTTGGCTCGCCGCCAGTGTTCGCACGACCGGTGGATGATGCATGCGTCGACGAGCGAGATGGTCCACGAGCTTCATCGTCAGAGCTGGCCACTGGGCTAGATGGAGCCCGACGTTTGGCTGAGGGACGATGACTATCGTTTCCGTCGTCACTGTCAGTAGCCCGTCTTTTACCTCGGGTTGTATGAGTAGAGCCTGAGCGTGCTGCATTGTCGGGATCGACCGCCCTGGCAGATGGCCTTGTAGTTCGTGACGAGCGGCGTGCACCCGCAATCTTGCTGGCTGGCGCTTTTCCGAGGAGGTCGAATGCATTCAATATGCGGCTGGCCCTGGCGGATCGTCCTGCTTGTGGCGGCTTCGGAGGTACAGAACTTGAAGGACCTGAGATGGGGGTTTCGTCAGTCTCAGAATTGAACCACTCAATTTCGTCTGCATCTTTGAGCTTGCCGTCTGCGCCAGTCGCGGAGTGAGTCATGATGGGCAAGGGGGATTGCTACGAGTGTGACATGTCGCACCTGGCCCTTTATGTTCTCGAGACTACTAAGACAATTCTGCACACCCGCCTGTTGCTACGAGCACTGACAGCGAATATCCAGTGATGGCACGGGTGCAGTGCTAGAATTTGTACCCATCCAATGAAATCATACCGATAAAACATGCCGATCTGCCGCTTCTCGTTCGCTGGGCATTTGTGGTGTTTTGAAGACAATGTCAAGCTTCTCTTCTGTGTCTTCAATTATGTTCGCATACTATGTCTCGTCTCGACTACCTACTACGATAAATTGGGAAGCAAGAACTTGAATTTGGGTGACAAGCTAGTGGTCAATATATTGCATACAGAGCTGTGAACACAGATGCGAGAGATGATTGGTCAGCATACCTTTCCTTCGGCGTTCAGTATTGATTCAGTTTTGCCTTCGTCGTGAGCATGTGGAGGCGGAGCAGATAGCACATGCGGGCGAGGAGCAAGCAGTGACGCGGAGTTCAAACTTACAACTTAGACTTTTCGCCATGTGATGCTTCGACCGGAGCTTACTGCCCGGTGTCGGAACGGTTCGGAACCGGTCCGAGACGGTCCAGAAGGGTCTGGCAGTGTCAGAACTCTAAACCGAACCATAGGTCCGGTCCTATCGCTGTGTCGGACCTTGAACCTGAACCCTGGTTCGGTCCAGGTTTGTGACCGGTTCGTGGAGGTTCAGGACTGAACCTCGGCAACACTACGTGCAACGGAGCTCCCGGCCCGCGATGCTAGTGTTGTTGCCAACATCTTCGCGACAAGCGGATCCATGTCCTGCTGGCAGGAAATAAGCGAAAATCATTGTGAACAGACCATTGAACTTACCGGTATCTCATCCTCCGTTGGGATGCCGAACAAGCTTCCTCCCCTTCTCACCGTCGCCAGCGGCGACTCGACAGGCACCTATGCGCATGTTGGTGAGTACATGCACACCGTCAACATTCAACCGAGACTCACCTTCTTGTCGGTACCAACGTCCGAATCAACTTCCATCGGGATTCCAAATAGGCGTGGAGCCACCGACGCCGAGCGAGCACGCTCTGGACCTGCAATAGGCTAGCAGCAGCTTCCGTCAGTATGAGGCTGAACTGCTCGGCGAGAATACACGTACCACGGCCATCTCCACATCCTCTTCCTTTGGAATGTTGAAGAACTTGCCCGGGGCGATTGGTTCCCCACTGCCACCGGCATCTGTCCTCGGTCCGTGAACATTCCGGCCGGATGCTGCGTGGGTGGCAATTGGCTGGTAGGTAGCGGAGGTTAGTATTGCTCAATTACTCGGCATGAGTCCACATACCAGAATCGCATCTGCAGGCTCTTCCTTCGGAATATTGAAAAGTCGGCCGGGCTCTTCCTTGGGAATGTTGAAGAGTCGGCCGGGCTCTTCCTTCGGAATGCTGAATAGTCGGCCGGGGACAGCCTGCCCGCCACTGTGACCGGCACCCGTATTAGCTCCGTGAACATTGGGACCCGGCGCAGGGTGAATCGGCTACCGAGGATGCGTCAACTTGAGCGTGATGAGCAGATCGCGGCGGTACGTACCTCATCATCAAGCCCGATTGGGCTTCTCGATGCTTGGCGGGCGTTCCGGCCGCCACGCGATCCCTGCCGACGAGTTGACACGTCACGGCCGCCGGTTTTCTTGCGAGAGGCTGGAAGAAGAGTTGTGAGTGGTAGGCCCCGGCGATTGGGCCGGGGACATACCTTGCTTGGCCATTGTCGATACGATGGGTTGAGGATACGCAAGTGGTCAGGAGGAAGAGGTGTGGCGAGCGATCACCAAGTTGATCGCCCATTAGCGCTCCCGCGGCATAACCGGAGTCACGTGAGCCGTGTGGCTGCAGTGTGGCTGCTAAGTTCGTGATCGCCGGCGCTCTTCTTCCTTTGTCTCCGCGTTCACCGTCGCGTTCTCTCATCCCGGCTCCTCTCCGCTGCACCTCCACGCTTGCTTCGGCCCCTGCTCGATTTTTGCTTTGCCATGTCTGCCGCGTCTACCACCCCCGCCACGTCAGCAACCGCGCCGGCTCCTGCCGGCCTAAGAATGCCTCGCCCCCACCTCAATCATTTCCTGGAAATCACGAACGCCAAGCTTCTGAAGATGATGGGGAATGGTTTGGTGAGGCAGGAGGATGAGGCGGCGCTGGCAGAGGAGATTGTGAGTACCCAGGGCTTCATGTAAGCTCGTCCAGGAATCTAACCATTCACCTATAGCTTGGAGAGTTCATTGATTGTGTGGTAAGTACGCACATATATCGCTCTTTCGGTCCCTGACGTTTGTGGTAGTACGGGGCGGTCCATGCAGTTGTGAGCGGTCGGACGGCGGGCGAGCCTCCCGAGGAGCCGTTGCAGGGAAGCCGGGTACTATTCAACGAGTATTTACTCATCGACGAGTATTATCTTCACGAGCTTATAGATGAGTGCATGGCATGAGTACTCGTGAACAGCATCCATAGAATGAGTACTTGTAATGTCAGTGGCACCACAAATACTCACGATCACATAAGTACTCACCGACGAGGCTCACTCCCTGAGTACTCACGGGCAGGGGTTGCTCCCTGAGTACTCGCCAGCGAGGCTCACTCCCTGAGTACTCGCGGACGATGGTTGCTCGTCAAGTACTCACGGACCATGTTCAGTCTGAGTACTCGCAGATCCACATCACCACCCGAGTATTCACTCGCAACCGGGTGGTGCTGAGTACTCAATGAGATGACTCACTGTATATATACTTACAATTAATACATGCCCTGAGTATTCGGCATCAACAAACTTCGGGAACAAACTTTTCTATATGAAACTGGTGGAATGGATTGATACTGAATACAGATCATAAATGTACAGTTGCACAATATCTAACAATCGCGCTGTCTATGTTCCTCAGATAGTCACGGTGGCGAGCTCTTCACGAGCGCCACTGTTTGTCGTACTCTTCGATTGACTCAGTTCGGGCTTGCCATATGCTTTCGGCGTCCGGCCACTTGGGAGCAACGAGTTTCATATCATCTACAGACTCGTCAATGAAGTTCTTCACAAAACAACGCGGAGACTTACTCGCGACGACGTCGAGCATGGGAAGATCCCGCAGTCCCCACTTCACCCATATGATGAAATCGTCTTCGCGCATGCAGAAGGGAATGTCGGCGAGATTCTCCACGTGCATGAATCTCCAGGCATGTTCCGGGCTCATCCATACTGCAATAGGATCAGTAAGTTTGAGGCCCCAGTTAGTGCAGATCGATGTGAAGGAGTCCCGGTCTGTTTTGTCGAACACAACGCCCTCAGGGAGCTCTCCATTCTACGCAATAGATGGTCAGTATTAGGAGACTGTTGGCAAGACGAGCCGTGACATACCTCCGTGTATTGCCAGACCCACAAGATATCCGATTCATTTGGAAGGGGTGCTTTGTGCAATGAATGTTGTCGCTCAGGCTGTGGCGGTGGTGACGGTCGACTCCCCAGACGGCGTCGTGAGGCCACATGTGACGAGGCGCGTTGCTCGTCCGCATCGCTGTCAGAATCCAGGGTGAGGTCGATCACGTCCGAGTCGTCCGACTGAGTATGACCGCGTTTGATGCCACGAGGCTAAGAGACGACATCAATATGAGATGGTGCTATGCCCAAGAGAAACATTGTGACGTACCTTCTGAGAAGTTGTCGGCGAAGACGAGGTCTGCGTCGCCACAGGTGCATTGTGCGCAGCTATCGCGCGAGGGAGACGACCAAGACGGGCGACAGTCCGAGATGGTGACGAAGACACCAGACTGACAGGCGAAGATGGTGGGATGGGGATCGGACGGTTGTCGGGCGACATGCTGGATAGAAGCGAAGGCAATCGGTCGTCCGTGGCCTTCCAGTAGGATTCTGAACCATCCGAATTGCTGTCAGCATCGCCCAAGACCTCCGTCTGTCCGACATCGTGCGTCCGAGTCGGCGCAGGGGCCCGGGGTGGATGTAACTGGTGAGAGGCAGAAGGCAGTGGCGGAGCATGAGAGAGATTGTTGACACCGGTGTCGCGTGTGGGTTGCCTAGTGGCCGCAGCGGATGGGGAGAGAGTGTGGTGCGGCAGCCTGCGCACTTGTCCATCCGGTTTCGGAGGGCCCTCGAGTGATTTTTCCTCCCGTTGTTGACGGAACACGCGACTTTCCTCGTCTAAGCCTGTCCTCTCGGCTTGAAGTGCACGTACGACGTCTGCTGCACGCTCCAAATCCTGGTCGATCTTTGAGTCAGGCTTACCCCGGGCCAAAGCTCGACTCTGCCTGTTCTGCAGAGCCTCTGAAGCTTTCTCCGCCTTGCGAAGGTCGGTGGTGATGCGGCTCATGCGACGGATGAGGTCGCGCTCACGGGGGCCCACACGGCCACTGAGATAGCGAAATTTCGCCTTGTTAGGGGGTCCACACCGTGTACACTGTGCCCCAGATTAGGGCTCTGTCCGCGAGATCGTTACACACTACTCACCCTTGTGTAAATCCGTGCAACGTTGTCATCATCGGTTAAGTATTGAAGTTGCTTCCTTGGGTCATGTTGACAACCCGCAGTGTCTTCTTCGAGGGACAGTGCGCGAACGAACTCCTTGAAGTGCGCGAGAAAGGGGTCGTTCGTGTCTTGGGTCTTCGAGGGTGTGTGAGGTGAGAAGAGAGTGTTCATCCTCCCTACCCTGCGCCCGACAGGGCCATTGGGCGGGGGAGATGACATGAGGCGGGAGTCAGGACGAAGACGGGGACTCGTGTGTCAGGGAAATGCTCACCTTTATACAGCATTTGCGCTATTGTTCTGGGTCCGAGTGGCCAGCAAAACTGTCGGTGGCACATTGTACGAAAGAGGGATAGGCCAAAGTGAGGGACAGAAACAAAGCCGGGCCACACGACAAGTGCCCCGCGCAGCCGCTCGGTCATGCAGGGCCGGCACATCATAATGGCAAGCTCGAGTGTTACCTATGGTCCTCCGCACCGTGTCACTATCACGCGACGAATTCCATTAATCACAAGCTGTGTAGCTAATGGTACTACCTAGACACGACACCAACATGAACATGCGAGACTATCATACAAGCTCCCTCCCCTCAGATTGCATACTATCTACCTTTACTTTCCTTTGGAGTTCAGCGTGGCATAGTTCGCTACGGTTCTGGCGGGCCAAGTCAGTTGCAGCAGACGAGACCGCGCATAGTACTCACCTCGTCCGCTTCGAACGAAGTGAGGTCGCTGGTGGCGCCTCGCTGTCAGGAGGATCATCGCCATCGCGTGCCTTCCTCTTGCTGGCTTTCTTAGAGGCTTCACGAGGTTTCGCAGAGGCCTTCTTCTGAGCCGTCTTGGACTTCTTGCGAGCTGTCGGAGGTGCGTGTTCGTCCTCACTCGACCGAGGGCCAGAATTGTTGTCTTCGGCCGGGACCTCGGGAGCCTGGTAAACATTGGCGGGGGGCACATCTGACCCGTTGCTCACGGCTGCGAGCGACACGTCGTCTGGGTCTCCGCCTGTCGCCGCAGACCCCTCGGGAGTCCCGCTGATGTTGGCAGCGGAGGCGTCCAACCCGCCGCTCACCGCTGGTAGTGCGATGCAGTCTGAGTCTCCGCCTCTCGCGGAAGAGGCCTCGATAGCCTCGCTGCCGCTGGCAACAGGGCCAGCTCTCACGTCGCTCACCGCTGGTGGAATGGCGGCTTCTGTGGTTCCGTCTGCTACTACAGAGCGGTCAAAGCGGCGTGGTGCAGAGATCGCAGAGCCGGGTGGTGCGTCAATGAACGCAGAGTCCTTCGCGGACGCCACTGAGACCGAACCGGGGGTGCTCTCAAGCGCATTGAAAAGCGGGGGTTCCTCAGGAACACCGCTCGAGGTGCCAGAGCGAGAAGGGGCCTCGGCAGGTGCTGGCAGCTCTGCGTCCTGTCCGTGTGTGGCGACGGCTTCGCCGGCCACTTCAGGTGCCACACCCTCGTCGTGGGTCTCTTCAGCTGCGACAGCCTGCGGCCCAGGCGCATCGCGCTGCCTCTTGCGCTCGAGGACAAGGTCGTCCAGCTCGTCGAGCACCGAATTAGTCTTCATCTGCGCGACGAGACTATCCGGGGACAACGCATTGTTGCCGATGCTAAGTACATAGTGAGCACACCGCGATCGTCGTTCAAAAGCAGATGAACATACAGATACTTGACACACTGACCCTCCTCGATGACACCGACGTACAGGAAGAAGTCGGCATCAATCTCGTTCGCCCAGGTATCCACCGATCGCTTGGCTGTAAAGAGGACGCGCTTCAAGGAGCTGTCATATGTTAGATAGACGAGGGCAGAACAACGACGGTGCCAACGTACTCGGCTTTGTTGTCCTTGTTCCCAGGTGGCGCGCCCCCCGAGCTGGGGCCTGCGGTCGGTTGCAAGGCCAGTGCGCGATCCATGCTCGCCTGTTCCTTCGACCGCTTCGACTCCTCCACGTACTCCTGGTGCTTTTCCGGGTCTGTGGTCGCCAATTCGAGCAAGGCAGCTGTGTATGCCTTGTTGACTATGCCTAGCCAGTGGTCTCCCGAGGTCAAGCCTTCCTTCTCCGCCGCTTGTCGTGCCATCTGACCGATCTCGGGGCGGTCACGCTTGTAAAGATCCACGATGCTCTTTGCTCGCGGTGCGGCGACCGGCTCAGATTCCGTTGGCAGCTCAAGGAGCTTCGGCGTGCCCTTCTTCAAATTCTCGAAGTAGGCGCGGTTGTTCTCGATCCAGTTGAAGATTTTCTGGTGAGTATGGTGTTAATACCGAGCATATTCAAGCGGCTTGTGGCACGTACGCCAACTCTCCCTGCGCATCTCCCATCGCGCTCGGCGTCCGTCTCGAACCGTACGACTTTGCCATCCTTTTTCAGCCCGTATATGCTCGCAGCGTGAAAAGCGTCGAACTCTTTCGCGATGCGGCCCGCCATCGCTTTGTAACTCTCCGGCTTACCAGGTCGTTCCCAGGCAGCCCGCACGGTGTTAACCAACCATGCGTGTTGGTCAATCTTGCGTTTCGGGTCCACGATGCATGCACGGCAGAGAGGAGCGTCCATGGTTAGAAGGTCGGGGCGCCGAGTAGAGAGAGGGTCGAAGCGAGGTACAACTGCTGCCCCCCTTTATGCAGCCGCGGGTCAGGGGCACCAGTGAAACGTTGTGCGATCGCTGAACAAAAGGCTCGTTAGGGCAAACCATCGAGCCGTGAAATGTCAAAGCCACTTAGCCACATCAAGCGTTGCCTCGTCCCGCTTTGGGACAAAGTCAAAGCCACTTAGCGACAGGTTCCATGGGCTCGTGTTTCATTGGGACAGGTTCGTTGCGGAGCTCAATGCCTAGTTTATCTATGTACACATACAGCTAGAATTACATGCTAGAAAACTCGAATCACGGGCGGGCAGGGAAGACGGTGGAAACGAGCAGTGAAGGTCGTGACATAGAACCGGATCGCAGCGGCCTCGGTTTGCGAGAACTCGTAGGTGTTCTCGCAATTGGCGATGTCCGTCATGGTTCCTCGGAGCGAAAGAGGAAGTCGGGCCACACACTCATGAGGGACACGAACGCGCGCAGGTTGGTGCGCCGCTCTCGCCAGTGAGCTTCGCCGGCGGGTGTCCAGCAGGGGAATGAATCGGCAACTACGACTGCTGAGAAGCCGGATTGTATCGTCGGGCCACGCCACACGTCCGCGATGAGTTGCTCGCGCTCCCACTTCAAGAACGCGTCCTGGCTATGGTCAACGAGACATCGGTCGAGTGCGCGCAATTCGCAGCGCCAATTGACCTCGTACAACTCCCAGGTGATCCACCGCAAGACATCCCGCTTCAGACTTGCCGCTACCATGTCGACTGCCATGCCACGATACTGGACGACGGCGGCCTCATCATATGGCAACAAGCCACCGATTTTGCCACACAGGGCACCGACAGCTGCCCGTCTCTCTGCACGCAGGATCTGAAGGCCATTACGTGGCGCAGAGTCAGTGGTGCTCTCCTTGGAGCCTTCAGGGGCACGGGCGGGCGGCGTCGCTCGCGGCTCTACCACAGGATAATCGCCGTAGAGGACATGTCGCCACTCTGAGATCCGCAAGGGCGCACCCGAAACGTGCGCGTCGACCAACCGGTGACTTAGAAAGTCACGAATCCGCACGAAGTTGTGAATGTAACGTGGCTTGTGCTGGTCGGCTTCGAGGATGAGGTAGGGAGGGGGAAGTAGTACTGAGCAGCCACGAGGGGAGGAAACGTCAGAGGTGAAGCGGCGACTAGGGCAGCGCGCCAATTTGGTGGGATGACGGCGACGTCGCTCGGCGGTGGTTTAAAGTGGGTGGCAGGATGGGACGAGACGACGGCTTTCGGCCCCGCACGCGTTCCGCGAGAGCGTTTCCCGCGCTTCTTCGGGTTGTGCTTCGGGATGGGAGCAGATGGCAGGCAGGATTGGGCTGGTGGGAAGAGCGGAGTGTCATCGTCACGTTTGGCGCGTTTCGCTTCTCGCTCGGCCGCCTCTGGTCGAACAATCATCTGCAGTTGGGGCAACGACGACGAGCACAGAGTGTTGCAAACATAGACGAGGGATGCGTGAGTCCACCGAGCGGGATCTTGATGTGTACCGTCCGGATCGTACCAGCTCTTCGGGATGCGCGGAGAAGCGGGCTGGTCGTTCAGCTCACGGGCCCAGGAGCGAAATGACACGACCTCTCGGATTGAGAGACCCTCTCTCCAGGGCTGAATGAACCAGAAGGGGATGCCGAGACGAAAAAAGAGCTGAGCCGTCGCGCTGTTGCGTAAGAAGGCCCCGAGCACGCCGAGGGGCTCACGCGACCAGCACCGCAGGTCGTGCATGCGCCCGACGACGACAATGTAGTACACTGTAAGTCCGGAGAGTTCGAGAATGATGCGATGGGCCAAGCGGCCGGTCACGAGAGCGTGTCGCTCCGTAGTGGGCACCTGACGCAGTCGGTCAACTGCATTTCGCAGCAGCAACCCCAGCATGCGTCCGAGGGTGAGATCGGGAGCAGTGTGCTCGACGCTGGCGACGTTCGTACTGGCAGATCCGGCGGCGACATCGTAACGTCGTAGTACGTCGCAGGCGATCCTGAAAAGCTCATCTAGAAGCTCGGGCTTTAGAAATCCAAACCCGGGGACCCCACACGACTTTGATTCTAGCCAAGGGCGGTACCCAAAGCCCTCGTAGACCTGGGCACTGGGCGCGTACCGAGAACCGGCCTTGGGGATGCACGCGTGATGAAAGGCCTTCTCGTTGAAGAGCTGGGGCCAACGCGTGTATTCCTGAGGACCCCACAAGCCGTCTTCATAGGTGACGACTTCGCGGCCTGCGATCCTCGGGAATTCCGGCACCCAATGAAGGAATGGCGTCGTGATGATATTGCAATGGTCGTCAGCATCCGCTGCACATCTCCCGTCGAAGGGACCAATCGGGTGTCGCCATTCTGTTCACGCGTCAAGTGAGCGAATGCAGAGTCAGACTGAGGCTGCTTACCAGACGAAGGGGTGGCAGTCAATGTGAAGGAGGTCGTCTGCACCTCCCTATGTAGATTAGCATCAGCCATGGGCTACGCCCGGGTGCACGAGTTAACACCGAGACGACGATGCGGCGATGTGGGTCCGTACGCGATATCAGGGGGCTGAGCAGTACTTGAGAACCACACGGGCGACGTGACAGTGAGACTACTATAAATCAATTAATGGACGCGGACGGCCAACACTTTGACGAAGAACTTACTCCGACGAGGCACAGCGTTGTAAGGACGGAATCTGTGGGCACGTTTGATGACACAGCGTAGACCGAGGTCGACAGGCGTAGCGATAGACAAGTAGAAACCGACGATTAGCCACGAAGCGAAAGAGCACCGAGAGCCAGATTAAGCAAAGCAGCCGCTTGACAGGCCAGGACGACTGAACACAACCTCACGGTCTTGACGTTAGTTGCTGGCGCCTCGGCAGCAGATATACTGCGCCGCAGCAGGTTCGCGCAGGAAGACCGAAATCTACCCTGGATCGCAGAACCGTGTGGTGAGCGGAGAGCAGTCGGACAGGCTATTAGATGGCTAGAGGATGGAAGGCGACACGCTCCCACTTGAGAGCGCCGAGGACAGACCGCTCGCCTGCGAGGGACTTACCATACCCAGCAGTTTGGGCGCTCAACGTCAACCACGCGCGCCCATCTCCGACCCATCTCATCCTCCCAGTTGCTACTCACCCTCTCCGCCATTCGCCTCCACCCTTCTCCAAGTACCCTCCACGCCTCCCTCTCAACGGCCTGGACGTCCGTGTTGGTTTCGGCCATGCGTTGATGTCCAGGTCCGGGAACCTCCTGTTCACGATTGAGCAGTCGAGTGACCCTCCTGGCGACCCTCAAGCGTCCGACTTCGCTCCTGCTTTCCCCAAACTGTGTCGCGTACCCTCGGATATGCTCGCCGCGCCGCTCAGGCTCGCCCACCGATTGTCAAGCCTCAGACAAGCCACTGGTCGCCTTCGGAACTCGGCGACGCGCGCGTGTGTATATGACGGCCGCAACCGCGGTGCGCATCAGTCCGGTCTGGAGTCCGTGAAGGCACGACTGGGGCAGGCCGATGTAGAGGGAGAGGGATGCGGTGCAGGGGATCAAGGAGACTGGGAAGCAAAGGCTTGTCTGTAGCCTGCACATACCATCCGAAGGTCAGTTGCATTTGGACGGCTTTCCAATCCCTGTTACACGCTCGTCCCGGTGTTCGTGCGAAGTAGACCCTGGCGGCACGTCTCAGGATGCGCCCGCATTCGTCTAACTGCAGTCCCGCGTTGATGTGCGCGTTGGGGAGAGGCCCGGGTGAAGTATCCGCGGACTGCGGGGGCGATGTGTGCTGTTCTCTACGCGCCGTCGTCACTTCCAATTTTCAGAGCCTCTCTCAGTTGTATCTTACCGTCCCCAAACCCTGTCTGACTGTTCTCGGAGTCCCAGGTTGATCTGCGAGCCCACAGTCATCAAATTTGGGCCTGGCTGGCGTTGCTCGGACGCCTACGGACTCTAACCAGGGCACGATCAAGAGACGACCTGGGCGATGGCGCGCACGTTCGTCCTCATCATTTAACGATGCAAGTGGACGACCTCGCAGAACCGCGGACGGTATAGCTTTATACCGGGGTTGCACGGATACACGCCACTGCAGTAAGTCCTCGCAGTTTGCTCACTCTCGCCTGTATTCATGCCCGCTATGGCTTCCAGCGACTAGCAACCAGCATCCATTCCGACGCTCATCGCCACTTTGAACCCCAACATTCCTGGATGACGCCAAGGAGTCGCAGACTGTTCCGATCGTTGTCGTAGATGTAGAGTAATGATTACCCATACTACTTTGCTAGGATACCAAACAAGGATGACGTTAGCGGCGCAAGGGCTCAAACACGCGCTCGAGGACACGGCCACATGTGCCAACTGCTTTGTTCATCTACGCGTCGCGCGTGAGTGGCGCCGCGCCTCCCGAATCCGTTAGGGTTGTAGCCCGCCTTCACCTCCACCTGTGACACTCGGATCTGTCACTTTCGCGATGGGCAGACGCAAGCCGAAGCGAGTCGAGGAGGACTTTTTGCCTCAGCCGATCGTCATTCCCGACGGACCACCCACCGTCACGTTCGATGCGAACGGCGAACAAGTCATAGAGTATCTCTCGCCTGGGCGGCGCAAAGAGAAGCGCGCCCGACCCACACCCCCTGCTGCTCCCTTGCCATCGATGGGTGGATTGCTTGAGGAGGCGAGTCCGAGTAGCAATACCTGGGGCACTGCCACACATACATCCACCCACCTCGACGCCGCTCCAGAGGCAGTTGGCTCACAGGCGACCAGTGCAACTAATCCTGCGTCTGTGGATCAATTCACGGAGGGAGAGGCGGTTGGACAGGACGCCCCGCCTAAGAAAGGGCATGGCGAGGTACGTCGCACCATGTAAATGCCACCATAACTATCTAATCATTCTCGAAGCCCTTGCATGTCGTGATGACCACATTCCTCGACCAATGGGCTCAAAAGCTTCTCAACGTGTTCCGAAGGCGGGAGATTGACCCCAACCTCGGCAAACCGTGTTACGACTGCCGCGACGGCGCCGCCACTTACCGGTGTACCGAGTGTTTCAACGGTCCACTACTGTGTAAGCGGTGCATTGTGGTGACACACCAACGGAACCCCCTTCATCGAATTGAATGGTGGAACGGCAAGTACTTCCAGCGCGAGTATCTCAGCGACGCTGGACTAGTCTTCTCGGTTGGTCACCATGGCCGCCCATGTCCTCGCGCCGTCAGCAATCAGCCAACGCAACTCACGGTGGTGCACACCACTGGGATCCAGACGATGAACGTCCATTATTGCGACTGCCACAACGGCTGCGACGCCCCGCTGGAACGCCCGATCCAACTCTGGAGGGCCGGGCTGTGGCCCGCATCGTTCTCCCGCCCTCAGACGGTGTTCACCATCCACACCTTTGGATTCTTCACTCAGCTCACGTTCCAAGCCAAAACAACAGCCCACGATTTCTACGGCACTTTGCGAAGGCTAACCTCCAACGCGTTCTTCGACGATGTGAAGGTACGTCGACTGGTCATGCGGCCTTGTATGTGCCTAGACTCATGTAGTTGATAGGACAGGTATCGGGAGTTCCTCATGTCGCACCGGCAGTACACCTACCTGGAGACATTGAAGAGGTTCGCGGCCGAAGTGAAGAGGAAACCCGATCCCGGTAGTCTCGCCCTGCGCTGCCCAGCTTGTCCTCAACCTGATATCAACATGGACCCGCATTGGAAGGACCGACCACAGCAGGATCGGTACAAGGACGCGCTGCATTACGGGAAAGATGGCAACTTCACCCTGCACCAACACGATAAGAAGATGGATCCACTGGATTTCCCGTTGATGAACGGTGGAGCTTACTACGTCGACAGTGAGAAGTACCAGGAGTACCTCGAGAAGATGAAGGTCTACGAGGACGCGCAAGACGAGACGGCAAACTGCAGCAACTTCAATGCGCTTTCCGATCGTTACAAGGGCAAGATCAAAACCGGTCAGGTCAGCCTGTCTTGCACGCGCCATGGATATGTCCTCCCCTGCGGAACTGTCGACTTACACATCGGCGAACGCTATGCCAACGTCGATTACGCGACATTATGTGGCCTTCAATGGTTCACGTCGCTTTCGCTGTGGATAAGCTCTTACGACGTCAATTGCAAATACGGCATAAATTGGTGGCACCGCATCAAGCAGATCGCTTCCACCTTACCGTCGGTGCCAGGTGTAACACTCGCGAAGGAGCTGTGGCCTGTGATCCGCCGCTGCGTCCCGAAGTTCCACATGCCCTCGCACACAGGCATCTGCAAGTACCTGTTTTCGTTTTACTATATGCCTGGGGTAGGCAACACCGATGGCGAGGCCGTTGAACGGAGATGGGCTGCCCAGAATGCCATCGGGCGATCGGTGCGCGAGATGGGACCCGGGCACAGGCAAGACGTCCTCGACGCACACAACTCCGATTTCAACGCACAAAAGATGTTCAAGATCGGTGAGTGACTGCTTAACAGGGCGAGCGACTGTTGCCTGATGCGAAACAGGGCGATCTCTACAGGGGAAGTTGAAACTCGCAGACAAATACTATGGCAAGAATCGGGCTCAGCTGGATGGCTTGGAGAAGACCTTGACGACGAATCGGCGCCCATTAGACGAGTGGCGCAGGGACGAAGCCGCGTACATTGCTCAAATGACGGACCCCAATTTCGACGGAACCAAGGTGAAGAACCCGTACCAACCTGCAGTTGATGAAGGTATATAGTGCTTGGTGATATCTTCACAGACCTTCGTGCTGAACATTAGTAGTTCCGACGATCCAGGACATCTTGGCTAGGTTGAAGCGAGAAGAGACATCGGCGCGCCAGAAGCCGATGCCGAATGCCGGTACGAAGCGCAAAGCATCAGCGCTAGATACGACTGGCATCGAGGAGACGGTGAGAGGAGGTCTGGGGGACATGCTGGTGGCTGGCTTTGAGCTGGAACAGGAACAGTTAGTACATTCATTCACAATTGACACGTCATATGACTGGCCGACAGGGAAGCCTTCAAAGCCAAAGTTGTCGCGTACGAAAAGGAGCCGTCGTCCGACAAGTACAACAGCATCGCCAAAGAACGATCGAAACTCGAGAGGCGGCTTGTGGACTGGCTTCTGTGGCAACAGAGGGTCATGGGCCCGAGTCTCCTCATGGTTGAGGCGGATGTTCAGGCCGAGTGGCCGTCAATAGACTCAGTCGCTGCTGAACAAGCCACGGTACTCGTCCCCTCTGCGTATTCGCAAGAGATACGCAGGCATGCATCTCTTGAGCGGTTCGTTGTTGCTGAGCAGGAGCTGCGCGTGGCTCACGCCAACGATACTCTAAAGAAGATCCGGCAGAAGCTTCACTTCGAAGCATATTACCGCGGACAGAATGCGGGGTCGTTCGGGCAGCAGGCGCAAACCAGATATAGTAAGCTGAAGACGGGCGAGCGCGAGAAGATAGAGGCATTGCGAAAGGAATACGAGCGAGCGCGACTCAAGGTGGATCGGCTGGCAACGAGAGACAGACCGAATACGTTGAGACCCCTCCTCGTGGAACAGTGCCGGCCTCCAGTCGTCGCGAAAGAGAACGTCGGTAGGCAAAAGGAGTCAGTGTCTTGGATCTGGCGGGATGGTACGTACCATGACACTGCACTCGACAAGTGGGCGCTGGAAGGTGAGTGAGCCGAATGATCAAGTGGGTAGTGCACTGACAGTGGCTGAAGCCTGTCGACTTGAATGGTTCCGGGCAAGTGCTCGCACAACGAGATGGAATGAGGAGGTGGAGATTGTGAAGGAAGAGATGAGGCGCGTGCAGCGATTCTTCCACTACTGCATGAAGAAGTGGGAGGAGCGTGCCGAAGTTGTGTGCACAAATCTTGACGAGCAAGGAGCGGCTGCTTTCGCGGCAAGGTATGTAGTGATGCCATGCATATCAAAGGCACGAGGGCTGACATCTGCTGCAGGCAGTCGTCAATGTACTCACGTCTGCTGACGGATGCGCAGAAGTGTTTCCCGCTGTCGTTGCAGATCATTTTTGACGACATGGTCGCACCACTAGAGGTTAGTATGATTGATGGTGAGGATGGCGATACTGCTGCTGTAGAGCTGGCAGAGCTGAATGCAGGTGAAGTTGACGATGAGGAGAGCATGTACGAGTAGTGCACGAAGAAATATTTCATTTGCAGAGATGATTAATGCGAGTACTTGGGGGGATAAATGTCGTCGGCGAGTACTCGGGGAGCAACCATCGTCCGTGAGTACTCAGAGTGAACATGCCAGTCCGTGAGTACTTGGAGAGCAACCAACATCCGCGAGTACTCAGGGAGTGAACCTCGCCGCCGAGTACTCAGGGAGCAACCCCTGCCCGTGAGTACTCAGCGAGCGAGCCTTGTCAGCGAGTACTTATGTGATCGCGAGTATTCGTGGTTTATATGGGTGTAATACAGTCATTTTTTTCTCGTCAGAATAGTATAACAAAATGAGTAAATACTCATTGAATAGTATTTGGGTTCCCCCCAACTATTGTCCCGAGCAGCGGCCGATGGTGCCGCTGTTCCTGCTCTCAGCGATTCTCGAGCTGGACCACTCGCCGAGGGAAGGCCTCAAACTGTCCCGCATCCGTCCGGACGATCCACGGGTCCTCACCTCGGCGTGGCGCAATCCTTGTGCGCCGTCTGGCCTCCCTGAACGCCCTCGCTCGCCGACCCCCGTTCCCGGCCCGTCTCGTCAGCCTTCGACGACGGTGCGCTTCCAGGACTTAGCGGCGGATTCCGACGGTGAGGAGGAGGTCCCGGTGAAGGAGGACGGGATGGATGTCGACGAGGTCGAGAAGACCCCACCTCGCAAGACTAGAAACACCGCGTCGAGCAAGAAGAAGCCGGGCCCTGGACGGACCGAATCGTCGGGTACCAAGCGCAAGCGGGCGCCGACTCCTACGCGCAAATCAAAGGGCAAACAGCGCGCGCGATCACCCGAGGATGAGCAAGGCGACAACGAGCGGGCGGCTGGACATCTGGACGAGGAGACCGAGCAAGAGGAGGAGGAGATGGATGAGGAGGAACGCCCGAAGAAAAAGCGGGCAAAAGGTACGTCGTGTTCAGCTTGCCATTGTTGGACTCTAACCGTCATCTATACCAGGCTCAAAGCCGCCGAAGGGCATCCTCGTGAAGAAGACAGAGGAGGTCCACGGCGAGCGGGCCAAGTTCGAGATGGAGTACGTGGAGGGAAGGTTCGGCAGCTCGTCCACCGGCGTGAGAAGGAGTTTATACCGCCTGGTGTCATCGCGACTCACATCTTACGCAGCCCGACCCGTGCACACAATGCAAGGGTTCCCATGCTATATCTCAACACCGGACGGCTACGAATTCAAGAAGGACGGCACCATGAAGGACCCACCGCCGGCATGCGACTATTGCAACGTCAAGAAGGTGAAGTGCGAGCCCATCGACACCGAGGGCACGTTTAAGCCCAAGAAGTCCCGGGGCGCAAGGGCTCGAAGAGACGATCCTCGGCCGGCTCTGGCACAGAGTCCGAGGGCACCGACGAGCCGCAAAGCGAGGCGGAAGCTCCGCCCACGACTGACGACGAGCTCGACCGGGCTGACACTGCCTCGGTCACGTCTCACGGCAGCCGGCGCAGCTCTCGACGGGCGGGTACACCTTCTCGGCGACCGACAACCATCGCCAAGAAGGCTGGCAAGAAGGCGCAGAAGGCGGTCAAACAACCGCCGGCCGTTACGCCGGCGCCTCAGGAAAACGCGGAGGCTGGGCCCAGCTCTGAGGTCCAGCAGAAGCCCGTGCGTACGAGGAAGACGAAGGGTCCTGCCGGGACGTCGCCGACATTGTAAGTGCATGTACGTCTCATTCTCGTATTGTGTGCTGATGATGCAGGTCGCATCTATCCCATTCTAGTCGCTGACAGGAAGCGTGAGTTAGTGGAGTTCGGGGGCCCCATCGATGTCCTCCAGGAGGACGACCTGAATCCAACACTCGCGGCGCTGCGCATCCGCGAGCTCCAATCGAATGTCCGGGACCTCCGGGAGCGGCTTGAGTCGATGGAGGCCAGGGACCGTGCTATGCGAGCACGTCAGGAAATTCTCGGTAAGTCCTCAATGTGTTTTGAAAATTTAATGCTAATGCTTTCCAACAGCCCGGGCAATCCTCGACAGCGAGAACGTGGACTACCGCGAGCTCATCAAGGAGATGCTGGAAGAGCATGAGCCGGCCGACCAGATGTTGTCGGCGCGGTTCCTCAATATCCCGGAGGTGCGGACCCGGGCCCCGCGTATGAATCGGACGACTCGTCCACTGAGTCGCATGGTGACCTCGGCGAATCCCCACCCGGTGCGCAAGACGTGCCGGAGCCTCGCGACGAGGTGACTGACCCTGTAGAGGTCGCTGGTCCCGCATCCCCAGCCCCTCCGCCCCGAATGACTCTGTGGCCGGAGGTCCCGAGGTCCCTGCTGGGCACGACGAGGTGACCGGCTCCGCCGCTGGGCCCATGTCCCCAGCCCCTCCACCCCCGAATGTCACCGTGGGCGGGGACCTGACGTTCCTTCTGGGCAAGGCGAGGTGACCGGCTCCGCCGCTGGGCCCATGTCCCCAGCCCCTCCGCCCCCGAATGTCAGCATGGCCGGCGGTCTGGAGGTGCCTGCTGGGCAAGACGAGGTGACCGGGTCTGCCGAGACTGCCCGATCAGAGCCGGCAGCCTCGGCGGACCCCATTCCTGCTGGGAACACACACGCGACCCCCCCGGCTGTTCTGGATGGTATCCGAGCGAACTTGGCAAGGTTCGTCCCGCGCCCACTTTTCCCACTGCCGTCGGTCTCAGCTCCGGCCCTCAACAGCACTCAAGCGAGTGTGCCGTCGTCAGTCCCCGAGGAGAATCACCCGGCGAACGAGAATGCGATGGATGTTGACGAGGGGAATGCGCCGGGCCAAGCAAAGTAAGGGTCCGAGTTCGTGTAGGCTGCGCTAATGTAATTACCACTCTGTACAATGTATCGCCTTCCGCTGCACACTTACAATGAAATGACACATGAACTTGAGAATGTCGGCTGAGTACACTTAACAGGAAGTTTCTCCCCCGCCGAGTGCTTGTAAGAACTGCCGGGCCGAGAGTATCGCATTTTGCCCGGGCCGAGACATCAAGTCGATATGTCGGTCCATGACCCACACCTCAGAAAGTCCAAGATTACATTGTGACCACTGTGTAATTCACAGTCCATCTGCTGCTCAACCATCTATGTTGACCTCAGCGTGGTGTGTTTACATTGTGACCGCCGAGAGGTTTGCATCGTGCTCGGCCCGAGGGTTCGGCGAAATCGTCGGGCCGAGAGTTTGTCAAAAGTCTCGGCCCGAGTGACCGCCGGGCGGTGCTTGTCATTTTGGCTGCACTGTTGAATACATGGTAGCTTTAGTGTGGTTTGTTTACATTGTGACCACCGAGAGCTTTCATCGCGCTCGGCCCGAGAGTTCGGTGAAATCGTCGGGCCGAGAGTTTGTGAAAAGTCTCGGCCCGAGTGACCGCCGGCCGGTGCCTGTCATGTTGGCTGCACTGTGAGATACACGGAACGTCATAATGTGATTTCGTGAATGCGTCGGTGGTAAATACAATGCGTGTACAGACTGTCTACTTTTCCCCCGAGAGCCACGCTTAACCGGGCCTTGCTGCCTGAGGGCTTGGATGACCTGGCCGGCGGCCCAGGCTCGGTGCGGGGCTTCTTCGTCCGCTTCCCAGTCCCGAGCTCTTCGTCATCGACCGCAGCTGAGGGCCGCTTGGAACCAGTGGCGGATCCTGCCTCCCAGCGAGCCCGAATCTTCTTGCAACGCTTGACGAGGTCCGTGGCAACTGCAGCATCCAAGTGGGAATCGAGCACATACTGCGGGACTCCGTGGTTCAAGCTCGGGGCGACGTCCTTGCTCTCGATGTCGTGGATCAGCATACCCACAGCCAGTGTTACTAGCAGACCATCATCGCGCGCCATGACATTCTCGCCGAGGGACGATTCCATCGTTGTGAGCCATCGGCGGAACTGTGTCAGTTCCTTCTTGTCGTTGTGGATGGAGGAGGGGCACGTTGCTCGGCGGTACGACCAGCTGGCCCACTCCCACTTGGTTGTCGAGTGCCAAGTCCCGGTGTCAGGCTGGTACGATTGAGTGAGCATGCTTTTCGGAGGGAGTACAGGATGTTACTCACAAGCTTCAGAGCAGCCTTCACCATCTTGCCAATCTCGTCATCGCCACAGAGAACCTGCAAGAACTTGCGCCGGGCATCCACATCCGAGGCGACCTTCGCCGGACTGCCCTTCTGAATGCGTGGGCCGGGCTTGCTACCGCTCGGCTCGGCGCCGGCGGTGTTCTTCTTCGGCGGGCCTGCTTGTGATGTCAGCAAGTTGTCCCTCTGTAGAAATGAGATGACGGACCGGCAGCTGGCGAATCCGCTTCCTCGTTATCCTCGGCGTCGCTGTCACTCTTGGTTGACTGCTTTGGGCGGGCCGTGGTAGACTTCTTCGCCGTGGCTGGCTTCGGTGCTTTTGCGGGGGCCGGAGCTTGCACCGGGACATCGCCCTCTTCGCCGGCGTCTTCGTCGTTACCCTCGGCCACGGTGTCTGCACAATAGTATAAGGATGTTAGCTTTGTGTACACGAGTCGCCCGTTGTGATGAGACTAACCACGGTTCTTCTTGGACACACGACCGCCAGACTTTGGCTTGGCCGACTGCTCGGCCGACCCTGTGCTAACCACCGGCTGGTCACCGGCGGCCTGGTTGCGTGATGCGCCGGCCGACTGTGTGGATCTCGCGCTATCCTTCCCCTTGCTGGTCTTCTCTGCCCCGCCCCCTGCACTCTTTCCACCCACCGACTGTCCACCTTTCTTCGGAGCCCCCTTAGATGGACCTCCTCCTCGGCCTTCCTTCGTCTTCGTCTGCATCGGGACAGCCTCCTCGTCGTCCTCGTCACTGGAGGCAGCGATCACCGCCCGGCCCTTGCCCTTGCTCGGTCGGGCCACCACGACCTCCTCGGGGGCGTGATCAGAGTCCTCGTCATGGCTCTCCTCGTCACTGGAGGCACCATCGAGGTCCTTGGCGGGTTCGAACAACGACCCATGGCCCACAGCATCAGAGTCCACACTCGAGGCCTCCTGGTCGGAGGAGTCCACCGGCGTGTCTGACTTGGCTCGGCGAGAGGCACGTCGGGCGGCCGGGGAAGCACGGCGGCGTCTCGGCTTAGGTTGGGGCTTCCGCTTAGGCTTGGGCGCCGGAGATGGTGAGCTCACCCTTTCCTCCTCGTCCTCGACCTCCACGATCTGTTTCGCCGCGTTCCTCCAAGCCTTGAAGCGGAGCACAGGTTCTCCGTCGTCGGCATCCTGCCTCACACGCCAGTGACGAAGGACCGCATCGAGGTCCCCAGCGCGGATCTTGTTCGGGTCGCTGAGAACAACGCCGGCCGGCAGATAGCCGTCCTCGAAGAACTCCTCCGACTTTTCCGACAGGGACTGCCACGGCACCCTGATGTTCTCGCGCCGGGTGTAATGAGCTATTGTATTCTCCGAGGTGAGTGGCCGGCCATAGGGAATTGGACTCATTGCGCTCACCGTATGTCATGCGGACAAACGTACTCAGGAACATACGCTTGTGATCGGTCTTTTTGAAGCACTCGTGATCGGCCGGCGGGAGGATGGGATACCCGTCATCGTCGAACTTCCACTCGATGCGGTCGATCAGTTTCGATGGGACGATACTCTCCTCGCCTTCAAACCCGTTGGCGTCTGAGCGAATACGTTGAGCACCAAGCACGTAGCATATGTTGGGCACACTCACTGAATGCGTCCTCGGCGTACTTCTTCCACATCTCGTACGTGTTGCCCCGCCGGAAATCTTTGAAGACCTGGATAAAATTTGGTGGCTCGGTGCCTGGTCCGCTGCGAGGATACGCATTGTTATAGTCCCATCTAGTCCTCGTCATCTTTCTACATGTCCAATGCGTCTGGACACTACACGTACTGCATGTTCCCCGTCTGTCCGTCCTCTCTCAAGTACGCCCCGAGCACAAACACCCTCACCCCACACTTCCTCCACATCAGCTGAACGAACTCGGACACCATCCCGTTGCCGTGCCTAGCGAGGTGCTTGTACTGGTACTCCCTCGGCCACACGGTGGCGTTGTACTCGGCGGCGGTCTTCCGGTACTTCGCCTCGTCGAGGGGGCGAATTCCGTCGCAGAGCTCCTTCAGCGCAGTCTGGTAGATGGACGGATACAGCTTCGTGTCCTTCTCCCTCCCGTTCCCATGCTTCTTTATCAGCTCTTCCAGCTCCTGCTCATGAGCTTGGGCACAGACCGTGCGCCATGAGAGGTCCTTGCCGAGCTTGATGAGGTCCTTCCTCACCGGCTCCTTATCCTCCGTGTCGGTCTCGTGGTTAGCGAACCACTGCCCAACTTCCTGCAGAAAATGAGTATGAATACACTGCAGGTAGAGTGGTACCTACCTCTCGCATTACATTGTCAAGGGGGTACCCCCTGATCTTCCCTAGCTTGTCAACGGCCTCGGCGACAATCTCCCCTCGCTGCTCGCCATCCTCCGGAAGCTTCCGCCATTCCTCCAGGCGGAGATTGAGGACGTCGAGGTCGCGTTTCTGCAGTGATGTCATTTAAATCGGATTAAGTTTGAATCAATATTGTATTTTAGATCAACTTAAAGGCCATACACATTTAACCCAATCCTGTGCTAAGCTATGGCTTAGCCAGTTGCTTGGCCAAGCAGGATCAGTACAGCTAATCCATACAGGTTTAACCATGGATTATCCATTGTTCATCCATTGCTTAGACTTTTTGCTTAGCCAAGGACAATCAGTACAGCTAATCCATACACACTTAACCATAGATTAGCCATAGTTTATCCATTGCTGAGACTTGCTGAGAAACTGCTTAGCCAATTAATTACCCATATAGGATCAATGAAGCTAATCCTCAGAGGATTAATCTTGGCTAAGTAACATCTGACCCATGTCTAATCATTTCCTAACCATAGATTAGCCATGCTTAGCCATAACTTAGGCAATAGATTCACAAGTAGTTGAGGCTAAGTAGGTTTGAGATGAACACTAATCTTCATTAAGTCATGCTCAATCCATGTCTAATCCCCTGCTGATCAATGCTAAATCATGACTTGAGTATTTTTGATCCAGTTCCAATCCAATGTAACCCATGTGAATGTTCATAATCCTATGCTAATCTATGTACTAAGACAAAATATACCAGTCCTAATCCTGTCTCAAGACAGTGCTTAACAATGCTCATGTGTCTTAAACCAAATCCCAATCTATTGCTAATCCTGTTCATGACAGTATGGCTTAGTGCTAACTACTTCAAAGTCAATCCTAAGTCAAAACATTATCCATTGCTAATCCTGTCTATGACAGTCTCAGTTAATGCTAATACACTACAAAGTCAATTGTGAGTTGCAGCATAATCCACCACTCAATCAATATTAAGTCAGTTTAAAGTTCAACTCAATCCACTCTTAAGTCACACAGAGACAATTCCACCAATCCCTAATCCATTACCAAACTGATCCTAAGAACATGCTGAGCCACTACTAATCAACCATGAAGACATGCTAAGCCACTACTGATCAACCACGAAGACATGCTAAGCCAGTACAAATCAACCAAGAAGAAACACTCTGAGTACATACTAAGCCATAAGGAATCAGTCACGAAGACAGTAGATTACTTCCCAATGCCATAGCTGAGCCATCGTAAGTCACTCGATTAGCTCGCCAGTAATCCTCGATTAGCTCGCGACTAATCCAGCTGTCACCCCTCGCATCCACACGATCGTCGCATCAACGCACTCGAGGATCTCGGAAAACAATCCCTGTGCGGAGCAATAAACATTAATACACAATAAATGACCGCGCGACCGTACTGCGCACATGCCACGGCCACAAACCACCGGATGCGGTCACTGAGCGAATGACAACGCAGGAGCACCGGCAGTAGACCCGTCGAAGCATGCATAGGTCGAGACGGAACTCGACTCACCTAGATACTGCCATCGCCCACGCCCCGCCCCCTCAGCCTCCTACAACGCATTGCTGTAGATACCTGACAGAAGAAGACCAGTGAGCTCGACGTACAAAGCACGCAGTCAGACAGGGTGCGTGTCGACGCGTAAATATCAATGTGGCGAGCATTAGCGCTGCGCATGGAGCTTCAACGAAGCTCGGTGTTGACGACGACGCTTGCGGGATGGGGGGTAGGACGGCGACGACGATAGCGGGATGGGGGGTAGGACGGCGACGACGATAGCGGGGTGGCGGGTAGGACGGCGACGTCGATAGCGGGGTGGCGGGTAGAGAAGAGGAAGCACATTGACGAAGCATACATAGTACGTACTCACCTAGCATCGCCATCCTTCGCATCCACCCTACCGCACCACGACTTCTCCTTCTCCCTACTCCTTCTCCTTCCCCTTCCCCTGGCCGGTGTCAGCTGGCGTGGATGTACTTGAGGACTGGAGGGAATGAACATGAGTCGGTGCCCGCATCATTAATTGGAACTTACAATCGAGTAGTCCCACTTCTCTGCGGCATCCTTTCGTGTAGTCCCGAAAACGTCCGCGCATTGGACGCTTAGCTTGTTGAACATATTCACTTTCCTCAGCGCATACGCTCTCGCCCCATCGGACAACCCTGCCTTCGCCGAGACCTGTTCCCAAGCTCTAGACATGTTCTTGAAACCGAGGATCGTCCTCTTGAACTCGGCATGAAGCTTGTTGATTTCCTCGTTCACTCGCTTCACCTCCGCCCGAGCGCGGAACCATTGTACCCGGTCGACTAGTAGCGAGTTGTTAGTACTAGCAATTGGGATAGACGAACCACTCGCCTTCGAGTTCCCATGCTTCCGCATCGTCTTCGGTCGTCCACGGGGGACGACCGTCCAGATCCATGCCCGTTCTTCGCGGCTGTCCCCTTGCTGTCGCGGCTTGCGCCAATTCTTACTCTTGAGGTCCGTTTCCATGTTGATCGCCTGTAGGACGTCCTCCGCAATGCCATCGCTCAATGCAATGAGGCGGTCGCGGTTGTAATTGTAGAGCCCGGCCAGCATGCGCGTGCGTGCGGTCGCGTTGGACACCTGCTTTTGAGAGCGAGTGTTGTCTTTCTGACCACGCGCGTGCTTTTGTTTGTCCTCGAGGAATGCGCCCTGGTGATTGATAGACTCTTTGACTGCAGCGAGAAGGTCGTACGCACGGCCATGTCGAACACGGCGTTCGAAGACCGCCTGCGCCTCCAGGCCGAGCGTGTTGCGCTCAGCTGCCGAGAAGTCGGATGGGAGGGCGAGAGGCTCGTCTTCAGGCCGACCGCTACCCCCGTCGTCGTCGTCGTCGTCGTGATCGTCGTCATCGCCGTCGTCGCCGTCGACGTCTGGGAAGTTGATGTGAGGCATGAGCGAGCTCTGAAGGTCGCGCCACTTCTCCAATTCACGACGTAGCACACGTCGCTCGGTGCCGACTCCAGCGACCCCCGAGTCGTCCTCCACCAGTTCGGCATGGCCTCTTAACGCCTTCTTGAGTTTCGTACGAAGTTCGTACCTGCAGACGGCGTCAATCCAGCTCCTTATTGGGATGTACGTAGACTTACTGTCGCTTCTCAAGATCCAGTGCCTTAATGAAGAAGTTTGTCGTCCCCTGTGGTACCTTGTCTGCTGCTGCGGCCGCGAACTTCCCCTTGGGTGTGATTTCCATCTTCACGAGGTCTTCATACACCTTCCCTGCGCTTGGAACTGAATGGGCGTGAGTACGACGTTTCGTCATAATGTATATTACCAAGTTTGGACGTACCTTTACTTTCATCGAGCATGTACACGCTCTGAAGAGGCTGAGGTTCAGCCTTCTTGCCCTTGCTCGATCGCTTCGGTTTCGTCTTCGTCTTCGCCTTCTTCGCCTCTGTCGATAGTGAGACCGGTTCGGCCACGTCCAGCTTCTTCCACTCCACCACCTTGTTTCCTGCAAGCTCCGTGAGCGCGTTGTAAAGCGACGTCTTATGCTCCTGTAAGGCGAAGGCTTCGCGGAGTTTTCTCGCGAGGAACGATGCTGACAGTGGAGCTCAGTCGCCGAATAGAACAGAAAATACTGACTTACCAGCGGACTCCATTTTACACCAGTTCCAGTAATTGTGAATGGCGTTGAGGGCGTCGTGGCGGTGTCCGGGACCCATCTCACGAGTGCTGAGTCCGACCTGGTTGTGCTCCGCCCACGGATGCTCGACGCTCTCTCCGTGTGAAAGACCCGCACCCCACGAGTAGCAGAGGGCGTACACAATCTGACAAAGCTCCTTGTGCGCGAGCATGTGGAGCTTCGGTAACAGCAGCTGCATGCGCTCGAGGAGAGGAACCAGATGCGGAAACCGCTCACCGAAGCGTTTGCGTAGGTTCACGCCGTATATGCAGACGACATCGTACGTGAATATAAAGTGCAGGAGTTCGTCGAGACCCTCGAGGGCTCCTGCGAGCGCGAAGTCCATATGTCCATATCTAGTTCGTCGTTATTTCTCGTTAATTACTCTGGTCACATGCGAGGACAATTGACTTACCGTTCGCCTTTCTGGAGGTCCACCATGGCCCCCGGCCGGAAGCACCCATGCCGTATGCATATCACCGCTACGACACCGCTGACCTCCAAGTTGCGGAACTTGCCTGGCCGTTGGGCCCGTCCGACTTTGAACCCACTGCAGGTCTCGGGCTAACACCACGTAAGTTCGCGGGCAAGCGAGAAGGACGAATTAGTACTCACGGCTGGCTCGGAGGCGATCTCGTCAAGGTACGTCTTCATCTTCATTGGGTCGACAAAGTACCCCTTTCCTTCACACAAACTTACATCATCCGGGTCGTCACGTTTGCGCTTTTTCTGAAGCCATGGTTGCCGTCGCCTCCGAGCTCGCACGCGTGGATATATCTGTAGACATATGGAATGATGAGTCGTATACATCGTCGGTTTGTGAATTACTTACGCGAGATCCTGCGGAGTATCTTTCCAATTTGCAGGCATGTTGAAGTTCGGCCATGGGCATGCAAAACATGGGACCGTCGTAGAGGCCCGTCGATTGGGAAGTTCGAGGCCATGATGGAGACCGGCCCTTTTCTCCGCGACCAGGTGTTGCCAGATGCGTCCTATGAGATTGAGTTCGCGATATCGGCTCTGAGAAATCGTCAGTAAGTACATGAGAAATCGGAAGGCATACGCGGCACTCACCTTGACAGGGCGTGTGCCCGAGTTGTCGGTGAGCCGACGCAAGGCTTCGAAGAAGTCATAGGCACCTTTCTTTGACGCCAGGAAATGAAGGTCCCATTGCCTGAGCACGTCGAAGGTGAACGCGCTTTCCGGGCGCTCCAGAGTCGCGGGGAAGAGGCCGGCACGGAGGAGCTGAGACACTGTATCGAGCTTGTAGGGACAATGACATTCGTGGAGGCGTACGCGATGTATACCGTTGGTATGAGTAATCGTGTAGGTGATGGGGGTCGAGCTGGCACGAAGATACCGACAGGGTTCACCGTTATGGCCCAAATGAACGACCAAGCCGATATTGCTGAGGTCCTCCTTCTCAAGGAAGCGGCCGGTCCACTTGTCGATCCAATGGAAGGGGTTGCGGACGTGCGACGAGACGAGGCATGCGCAGCATTGCAGGGGCGCCTGCAGGCAGTCCCGGCACCGCACCGTCGCTTGTGCCTTTCCGCAAGCGCACTGCGAGCCTATCCCTGAAGGGACCTCGGCGGCGAGGATGTCGTCGAGGATACGGGAGAATCGCGGCTTCCACTCTTCCAAGGTCTTCGAGATGCCATTCTGTGGTGAGAGACGTGAGTTGCAAGTACGTCTTGAAACGGGCGATCAACGTACTTTGACCGTACGCTTCTCCCCTGATTTCGACGAAGCACCGGGTGTCCCGCTGCTCGCCTGTGGGTTCGCTGACAGAGGTTTGCTCGGGCCTTGTGCGGGAGGGCTTGCGAGACGTGGTTTCTTCTTCGCAGGAGAGTCGTCTTCACGGTGCGTCAAAGGTACTGAGTATTGGGCAGGACCTTCTCGCTCGACAACGACCGCTTGAGTGATGGCGACTGCAGGAGGGAGGATGTCGTCGACGTGGGCATGAGGACGTTTGATGCGTCGACGAGTTCCGCTCATGAGTGGCCGCCTTCTACAGGCGCAAGTGATCGTATTCAGGAAAGGTTCGGTCGCGGCAAGTGGAGCATACAGGGGGGTTACAGACGCTACAAACGAGGCTACTTCCTAGGCACTAAGGGGCGAACGGCGCAGTGACGCCTCAGATACAATCTCACAGACACAATCTAGGCTCGGTAGAACTACGTAGACTACATGCGGGACCGGAGAAGGGAAACAGCGCATCAGCGCGTCGGGCTGTTGCCACAGCAGTGCTGGCTCGCCGTGGAATAACGATCCAGCCGCGGTGTGTCACGGATTGAGCTCGCTTGCCTGTTCCTCCACCGATGAATCTTGATCGAGCTCGCCTTCCTGGTCGTCAAACGATGAATCTTCTGCGTTAGACGAAACGGCGCTGCGACTCACTGTTGAACGTTGAACCCCTAAACCCTCTCCCACGCTCTCATCGTGTCGGGCTCGCCGCACTGCTGGCACCGCATGGACAAACCGGGAAATGTCACCGACACCGCAGAGCGAACAAACGAAGCGCGCTGGTCCGAACTGTTTCAGGTCGCTTAGTAGTGTAAGCAAACATTGCCGGCGCAAAGACTTACGAAGAAAGCGGACAACCGCTGTTGTCCACGAGCTCACTGGCTGAATGCCTAAGTCGGGCGGCAGAGGGACCTGAGACAGCGGCCATGACAGTTAAGTGAGACGGGGCTGCCTCCATGTGCAGATGGGCGCACGATCGACGTACCGTAGAGACCTTGTACCCGATGCTAGGTCTTGAGAGCTGGCCTCCAGAACGACGTCGTCTTGTAAAATCTGTAAGCTCGGCGCTTGGTCAGGGATGGCGCCTTCAGTGGACGGCGTACTTACACCATGAAGTTGGAGCAGAAGATCGTAATGTCGGCGAGGGAGGGCGTGCGTGAATCGATGTAGGATGCGGGCGAGTAGACCAGGCTGCTGTGTTGTCTTCAACAACGTCTCAACCGCAGGAAACCCGCGGGAGCGTGTCGTCTAACGGAGGCTGAGACGGCTGTGTGGCCATCTCGCACACCCGCGTCTTGACGGCGAACTTGCGGCGGCGAAGTTAGAGGAGCGAGCGAGTGAAGAGGAGCGAGCGACGGCGGCGGTGCTGATCAGGATCGGATTAGGGTGAGTTGGACGAGGATTAGCGCGAGGCGCGAGTCACACACGTGACTCTGCCTGCCTTTCGTGGCTAACTGTCACACGGGTCTGGCGCGCGTGGCTAATCCGCGTGTTCTTTCCCAACCCGTTCTATTCACTCTGCTAATCCCCTTCTCGCCTCTGCTCGTCGCCGTCGTCGCTCAACCTCCGCTCGCCTCTGCTCATCGCCGTCGTCGCTCAAGACCCGCCGCCGTCAAGACTCGAGATCATCAAGACCTGCTCCCTTCCTAGAGTGGCGCGTCTGAGGGTAGCATACCCAAGGGCGACCCTCTGCAACTGTGCGCGTCAGGGGGTTCCTTCCTGACGACCTGTTGCTTCGCCCGCCGCCACACGCTCAACGTGAGCACCTCAAAGCACCAAGGGCTTTTCAAGAACATAGGCGGGAGGTACGTGGCCGCTCGTATATCATACGGCTGATGTCGAAGGAAACAGCGTACGGCGGGTAGCCACACTGAAGACGAGGCGGGCTAACGCATCCTTCACGCGTTTTTTGGGCCGAATACGCGTGAGTTATGCTACTCGATCTCTTTACCAGATATTGAAGCTTCAAGACCTGTAGATCTACGTCACATACTAGGACGACGTTGCGTGGAAAACAAGAATCATTCGGTCGGTAAGTTCTCACGTAGTTGTCTTTGAGGGGCTCAACGAATCTGACTTCTCGTACACGCAGAGCGTCGTCAAGCATGCCGACCCCTACGCAGAAGATCTCCGGCGCGATCGCGCAGCAGCGTGTCGGGGACGCAAGCCGGCGTCGAGATGCCGATTCCCGACGCGCAGAAGGGGCGTCCCGCGATGAGCTATGGCCGCAGGAGCCTGTCGATCATCTGGGGAGGCCGTGGGGGCAGGGAGACAAGGGGAGCCAAGCCCCTCCGCTGGTGCTTCGCGAGACGCCTGAGCTCTTCGGTGCGTACGGGCAGCTCGACCGCTTAACTCAGCTGACTTTGGCCTAGACAGGAATAAAGAGGCGGGCCTGGCGTGGAACGATGGTCGGCTTGCGACGGAGTGGAAAATGGATGAGCACGCCGTCGTCACGACCGCGAATGCGACGTGGATGCCGGAGTTCCCGGTTGCCATGCCGGGACGCATCTGCACGCGCTCGGACGGTCGATGGGGGCCGCAGGAGTATTCACTGTGGCCGCAGATGTATCACAGCAGAGTACTGCACCATGCCTGTATTCCCGTAAAGGACGGTGACGTGGAGGGTTTTGAGACGAACGTAAGGTGTATGTTTGACGTCGTCGATCCCAGCTGCTGGGCTGCGGACACTACGTGTGGAGTACCTGACCTCGGATTTCTGAGTCCGAGGTACCTGAACCTACTCAAGAGCACCGCGCAACGCGTCATCATCAAGTATCAAACCTGTGGTGACGACAAGGAGGAGAAACAAAAGCAATTCGGGTACCACCTGTCTCAAACGATTTACCAAGCCCTCGACCAGCTCTTCATCCTCCTGACGTGGAGAACGCACGCCGTGGCCCTCGCTTCGCATGTGCAGCGGCTCACGCTAGAACTGTGCGGGCTCATCGTCCTCTTCGACGTCGTTCAGCCCCGTGTGCACAATCGCTCGTTCGTCGCGAAGACACCTCTCGCGGTGCGCGGCGCGTTCACCGACAACGCGGGGACCGCGCAAGGCCTCTTCCGGCTAGGAATACCCACGTGGTTCATCCAGCCGTTGACCTCCTTGGTACGCGTCGTAAAGGCGGTTAATCCTACGCCGGTCTCCTCGCAGATGAGCGATGAGTTGTCGCAGCCGCGCTTGTACAGTGGCGATGGAGACCTCGCGGGTATCGTGCAACACCCAGGCGATTGGCCGTTCAAGATGCAACAAGAGGTTTTGAAGAACCTCTGCGACGTGAAACTACCATCAATGCCTCGGGTGCTCGACACGGATGGCGCGCCGCCCGCCAAGAAGGCGAGGGCCGACAACAGCGCAGATTCGAATCTCGATCGCGTTCAAACGAACCAACCCGGCAATTCGTCCCAATCCGGCCATTCGTCGCGCCGAACGCATCGTGGCAAGCGAGCAGCGGCCCCGACTCAGCCTGTTCCCGTTCACCCGTCGCTTTGCTACCAGAGGCCGAAGACGTCGGTCGTTCCGGAAGTCTGGGCAGAAGCACTCACGGCGGTCGGCACTCTGCCCCCCCCACGTTCCGCCTCCACTTTCTATTGGCCCCCTCCCTTCTGGTTCGAGAGCCAAGGCGAGAAGGTGAAGCGGTATTTCCACAACTACGTGCGAATCCGGGGCTTCTGTAGGCAACGGTTGCTCGATCCTACCCTCGGAGCCGAGCCGCTACGCATTGCAGAGTGGCGCGATGCGCTATGGGGGGATTACCAGGTCCAAGTGAGCGAAGCGACGTCGACCACGTTGTCGAAGAAGAACAAGGACCGTCGAGACGTCCAGCAAAACATCCGCCGCTTGTTCTCGAAGACGGCAGGTCTGCCGACGTACGACAGTGCGCAAAGTCTGCAGTGGGGCGCAAACGCTGTGAACGTCGACTCGGTGAATGGACCCGCCGTGCGCGCACAGATTTTGTGGGAAGTGCACGAAATCAACTGGCGATGTGAGATGCGAGAGCTCGACGCCGCTCTCACTAACTCGCATGAATGGGGAACGCTGCAACGGTGGGAGCGCGAAGCGCGATGTGGGGAGTGGCCCCCACATAGGCCCGGACAGTATGTGTATTCACCTATTTTGGGCTCTCTGGACTGTCATGTTCCTTCCGAGCACATGGACTACCTTTCTTGTTCCCTCCGATACCCTACACCTTACTGTACTTCATGGACTTTGTGCGATTTGCTTTTGATTACCATATATAGTAACTAGAGACTCTTAGTCAGCTTTTGTGGCATACAGTGCCACGAAGACATGTACATACCTTAGTTCTCCCCCCTCCGAATCTAGGCAACTACGAGCACAGCTCGTCTCGCTGCTATCACATTTTCTGGAGTTGGGGGGCATCTCCCCGAGTTGGTCATTAGCGACCTAGTCGGGCCATCGAGAATCATTCGGACGGAAGCAGTGCCACGTAGTTGGAGCAACACCAGTACTACGAGATCAGGGCAAGTCGGAAGGAGTACAGGTTAGGCCAAGGACTCGCGGAACGAGCTTAGGAACCAGCGGAAGAAGAATACGAACCAGCGGAAGGAAGACAGGATCCAGCAAAACGAGGACAGCGACCTGCGGAACGAGCTTAGCGACTAAGGAACAGAGCTGGCCTACTCCGCAACGAGCCGAGCGACTACGAGAGTTCAGAATAGGACGTCGGAACAGGTACAAGGAGACAGAACGAGAACGAGAACACGGAACGAGCACGAGATTGAACGCGGTACGACTCGGAGCCGTTGACTGGAAGCGAGGTTGAGGATACGAAGCACGGAAGAGGCGAGGGAGCAGCGGAACGAGTCAGGACTCAGGATGACAGCTGTAGACGAGGCCTGGAGGACCGAGGATAGGGACAGCGAGCCAGAGGTTTGGCAACGAGGTCCGTCTTTGGCACTACTCCCTCCGAGATGCATATTCCCCCGTTTCGACACACCCTCCCTTCATCCTGGAAGCCATGGATTGGCCCGCCCCTCGAACATCGTGCCCGGGGGTACTACACTCCCGAGCTACACAACTGGAGCCCACCGCGAGGGGTGGTACCCTATTCGTGCTTCTTCCGCTCCGCCTACAGCTTCGCATCATCGCACCCACAGCACAGGCGAGCATACACAATCCACTCCATTCATTTCCCATACACTACGTGTACATCATCTATGGATCGAAGGCCCGCGTGCGATCCCGCTACGGCCAAAGTCACTTCCGGGACTGTGTACAGGCAAGGCGACATTTATTTCCTCCATTACCAGTCCACCATGACAGTGCATGTGGAATCGACGCCAACGCGCGAAGTGGACGTAGTCGCGAGATCGACCGGCGCGACGGTACGGTTCAGGTCCATCACGGACTCGGCGACTGGCTATCTCGGAGACGACCGCACGTACGCACTCGACGCCCTCTTCACGGCCTCAGCATCTGCAACCCAGATCTACGAGCAAGCTACGGGACGCGCGACTGTGACCTTCGAGCCAGTTACAGCACATACAGGCGACGGTCATCTTGCGATGCACACACTCGGCACCATCGCCCAGTCGACGGAGACGCGGAACCACGGCGTTCACGAGGCTCGACCGGCCGCACGCTCGAGCATTGCTGCGGACGGACAGACACTGGAGACGACGCCATGTATACAGAAGCGAGTTCCCGCGCGTACGGGCAGCGACTTAGTCGAGGACACCTCTCGCGGTACTGGCAGGACAGCCGACCCTGACGCCCACGTCACCGTACGCTCGCATGTTCACCGAGGCAGCTCGCTGACACTTCGAGACTTCTGGAGTGGAGTATCAAGTCTTACGGCGAGGAAACACGACGGAGGTACCCAGTATGAGGGCCTGACCATGACGACGGGGCCCGGGACGAACATGAGCAGCGACAATTCAAGCACTCAAGAGCAAGCACTTGGATTCGGAGGCACGCGCAGAGGAGGAACTGCCGGTTCGCGGGGGCGACACGCGATGAATAGACGGAGTAGCTGGGAGGTGTATGCGGGTAATGCGAGCTCTATGACACAGATGTCTATGGCTACGACATGCGGTGGTTTGCCCCTACTCGACGACTCCTTCTGCAACACGTCACGTATAACGGCAACGATGTCCGAGCCCGGAGTCGACAGGCGCATGGGAAGGGGACCCGCCACCTTCCAGAAGCGGTTAAGTGAATCAGCACCTTCGGAACCAGGCATCAGTACCACGAGCCAGGAGCAAGAGAAGACGCACCCGGCGGGCCGACCCGAACGAAGTCAGAGCCCTATAGCAACGAGTGGATGGCGGGACGAGCAATGTGCTCCGCTAGAATCAATATACTTGTCGAGCTTGTCGGGCATGTACGAGCGCGCCACGACGGGAGATGAGCGAGCGACTTCGGAGGGCGGAGCCTGTCGAGCGATGATCAGCCTCGGCATACTGAAAACTGCGAGCCACGAGAGCTGGAGCGAACGTTCAACCTGCAGGTCCTGGAGTCCAGCGAGTAACCGAGCACGCGAGCGCAGGATCCAGGGATCAGGGCCAACGAGCGTGACCAGCATCGGAGGCAAGGATATGCGCAAGCAAGAGGGGCACACGCGGGAGGCGAGCGAGCAGACGCCATTGGACAAGGTGCAGACCGCGACCGAGACGTACACGGTCGACCGCCGTGAGTACAAGGCGCACCACCACGGTGCGGAGATAGAGGAAGAGATCAGGAATCTGCTGGCGGCGGCCAGACGAGTCTCCATGGTCAAAGACGATTACCCGCGGCCGGAGGAGCAAACGGGAACTGAAACACGGGCATCAGGACGGGCGCGAGAAGTGATTACGGAGGTTAGACTCACCGGTGGAATCGCTGGGAGCGACGCGTGTCTTGCAGCGGTCGGTCGCCGACACAGGAGCCCGTTCAGCGAGGTACTGGTACCGACGCGAGGAGATCGAGGAGGAACGGATGTGCCGTACCTAGTCGACCAAGTGCGGACCTATGAGTACTCGAGGGTGAGCGACATCGAACGAGAGAACGACGAGAGAATGGGGACTCCTGGACGCGGGACAGGCGGGGTGTCGAGCGAGCGATACGAGCCAGGACCACGGGCGAGACACTCACGGCGGGCGGGGTTTGTATGCAAAGATCTAGCGACGACGGGCATCGCGCAAGGCCGGGATTCCGACGGCGAGCTAGGCCGTGGCGAGAAGAGGATGGCGGGTGGTGAGGCTTCAAGCGCAGCCATTAGCGCGTGCAGCGGGGAAGAGAAGGAGGTCGGCGAGTTCTTGGCGGCGGCAAGACGAGTCTTCAAAACCGGAAACGACTGGCGGCGGCTGTACCAGCAAGCTGCACGGGTGACACAGGCGACTAGGCGGGTCGCGACAACAGCGTTAAAGGATAAGCGTACCGGGGGATGCATAACGACAAGCCGTCCACTTTCCTCGCAAGCCGAAGACTCGACATCAACTCCACGAGGCGCACCAAGCATGCAGGCGGAGGGAACGCACGCGTCAGACGTCCGGCAAGATACCCTGGTGCGAGATGGCGGGACGGCGGACGTGCTTGATACGCGCAAGCGGCAGGAGCGACAGGTGCAGGCGTTCAGACGGGTCGTGATTCGAGCGACGGAGACTACGCTCACCTATGGGATCTCCTCCACCGACTACGCGTACCCCGGACATTCACCTCCCTCTGCGAGGTCTGCCCTGCGCGTGCAGGAGCATGCGACGAGCGCGTTCGAGCTCGGAGTTGACGACACGCCCGTTTCGAGCACACAGCGGAGCGGTGATGGACGCGACAGCGGCGGGGACCGTGTTGACTTGGGAATGATTCAACAAGGCACCATGGTCGCGATGGACGAGAGAGAGTACGACGAGAGCTCGCGCGAGGATCACAGGCAGGGAGAGTCGGTGGAGGGAGGACTTCGGGGTCCGGGAGAGACGATCGCTCAAGCGCCCGAACCATGGTCTGCACAGCCTGCCGGGGTCTCGCTGGTCGCTCGAGTCGAAGCTTTGGCGCGTGTATTCTCGCACTCCCCGCATATCCTCAATACTAGCAGTTTTCCCGCGCATGGTCCTATCTGGCGAGGCGCAGAAGGCGCGACGGTTAAGGACTACCTCATGGCAAGATCGGACTCGGAGGAAACAGCGCGTAAGGTTCAAGACTCAGTAGACCCATATCGGCACGAAGCGAGCGCTCGTAGCCAGCAATTCAATGGTGCGCAGAGTGTCCACGCGCTTTCGGAGCACTGCGCAGATGGGCAAGGACGACCTGAACCTGAGAGGGCGGAGAGACAAGCGATACTTAGCACATGTGAGTTATCGGAGTACTCCCGGGTGAACGGACGCGATGCAGAAGGCCCGGGCGTGGATGAGCATTCGCTCAAGTGCAAGCCGACGGGCTCGGCAGTCGCAGGCTTGCTGTCGGAGGGAATGGTCGGTCAAGGTCCGGTTGCAACGCAGGAACCATCGGTGAGGCAGGCGCGCAAGGATCGTTATTCGCAGGACGAGTGCTACACGGACCTGAGTACATCGCGCGGGTCTGTTCGGGCAGTCGAGGTCAAGAAGATCTACGGCGACGGTAGCTACTACAGACGGACAGTGCGAACCATCGCGCGCGCAGGAGAGCCGTGTCATATCCGCCCTCCAGCGACGCCGAGCCAGTACATTGCGTCGGACCGAATGGAGCGCGAAGGTTGGACGGCGAGCGTTGAGAGTCGGGCAGCTACGAACGAGATACAGGCGAGCTCCCAGGATGACACATGCCGGAGGCAACGAAGAGAGCGAACGGGATACCGAGACACGTCGGGACGAAGGGTTGCAGGCAGGGACAGCGAGCGGGAGCTACGGGAGGAGCACGAGGAAGCGACGCAGACGTGGGTATGCGCGTCGACGAGCGACATCGCCGCGGAATACAGGAGAGTCGCAGTGATGGGCAGTAAGCAAGCCGCGGAAGGAACAGCTAGCGAACCTCGGTATCGGGAGCGTGCGGGCGCGGAACGGACGGACCTGGGCTAGATGAACGAGGTACCCAGCATAGAGGGAACCATGGAGATCGGAGGACAGAGGACGGGAGCGAGAAGACGGACAGTCAAACCGCGCCGAGCGTGAGCCTCGAGACTGATCCCTGCCGGAGGGAACGAGGCGAGACCAACGGGTTTGTGGAGTCCACAAGACGAGAGGGAGAAGAAGCCGATTGCCAGGATGTCCAGCGACAGGGCGCAGACCAGACGCGCGTGTCCGATGGTCAACGGGGATCAGGGGCGAGAACGGACACGCCAGTAGGCTCCGTACAGGGAACGGTTCGATGTGGATCTTCGGGCTACAGGAGGCGAGGTACAAGACTGCCGACAGAGAGGATGCCCGGGCTCGCGACATCGACGCTAGCCTGTCGGAGGAGGCGGAGCAGGGGGGGAGAGAACCCAGGGCGACGACCGCTGAAGTGCATGGATCAGGACTGGCGCGGTTCACCATCGGGGTACTAGCCTCTCGAGTCGCGGACAGGATACGCGCCACCTCGTATTCTTTCAGGTCACACAGGGGTTCCAACCGGTTCGCACGGATAACCATCTCTCGACACGCGCTACAGGGAGCGATGGGTGGTATTCGAGCGATCGTAGGAGGTGGTCGTCACACGCGGGGACCGGTACAGCTCCGAGGCAACGAGGAGCGGAGGGAGACGACTCAGAGGCGAATCAAGTGGAACGAGGGCTTGAGACTAGAGCACGGGCGGACGGAGGCTGGCGAAGATCCGGATCTACCGAAGGCGAGTACCAACAGCTCGGCACACGATGAAGAGCGATCCCGGGCGACCGATGTACAGCGGACCGATCGAGCGGGGTGCGTGCGGAAGAAGGTTGATTGTAAGACGAGGGAAGCAGTAGAGGCCCGCGCTCAGGCGGAGGGAAGCATGCGGACGCACCGTGCTGCGTCTAAGTGTAGCGAGGGCGGTACGTGCCGGAGCGGCCAGAGGAAGATTGCGAGTCCGCAGTTGCGGATGGGCGTGAAACGGGACTACATGCGAATCTGGTCGCGATCAGCCAGCAAGCCGGACCATTC